AGGAAGACAAATACGAAAATCTGGTTGCTCTGTTTTGCGCTGGTATCTCGCTTGTATGGCCTCTCGCCTCATCTCTCAGCGATGAAGGTATCCTTCTTTCTTCTCTGTGTTCATTTAATTTTCTGAACTCTGCGTTAATGGTGCGTTATCATTTTATTTGAATTTGGGGGGTTTGTCATAATTCCATTGTGGGTATTGACCTCTGAGATTCTATTCTCCTTGTGGAGAATGTGACTTTTGGCCTTTTCTTATTTTTTATTTTCTCTTTATTTGTTGATTTATATTTTTGCACTTTATGGTAAATTGAGATTTATGAGTTTAAAGCTGTGATGAAGATACTGTCTATTTTTTCTCATGGTGAATGATGAGAGATAAAGTTTTTGATCCCCTCTCTCTCTCTAAAATCCATCTTCGCTCTCTTTAATTGATTCCTTGATTTCAATTAAGTTTTCATCATTAGTTAGTAGCTAGAATTGATCTCTCTGATTTGGGGAAAAATGAGTGTTGTTATTTGCATGTCTGCTGTTAATTTTGTTCATTACCCCCCTATTAGTTTCTCTCTTAACAGATTTATAATGATTATAACCTAATTAGCAGCCATTGTCGCCTTTGCTGCATTTCCCTAATTTCTAACGAGAAGTCGATTATTTTATTATGGAAAATCCACTGTTAATTTGTTTGCCTGTATTTACGTTCACATATGAAGTATATATTCTTCTATTCGAACTGATGTAACAGAATTATTGTGTAACAGGAAAATCGTTGATGTCCATTAAAGCTTCATTTAGCAACATAGCTAATGTGCTTCTAGACTGGGATGAGGTTCACAATGATGACTTCTGTTCATGGAAGGGAGTATCTTGTGGCAATTTCAGCATGTCCGTTGTTTCTCTGTATGTTTTTTTTCACCCTTTTCAGCGTAAACTGTTTACCATGTCTGCGTTAATTAGTTCTACGTTTGCAGTTCAATCTGTAATTTATCGAGTCATGGTTTGTTGTTGTGTGAAGGAATCTGTCAAATCTGAACTTGGGTGGAGAAATCTCTCCGGCTATTGGAGATTTGAAAAGCCTTGAGTCTGTGTAAGTATATATATATATATATATATATATATAAATAAGTATGGTGTATGCAAGAGTCACCTTCTTCGATTGCGATTTGTGTTGTTTTAGTTCTCACATGCCGCTCTTTATTACGCAGAGACCTTCAAGGAAACAAATTAACTGGTCAAATCCCCGACGAGATTGGAAACTGTGTTTCTCTTGTATTTTTGTAAGTTCAATACTTAGGTATGTAAGTTTAGTGAATGTACCGATGACTTTTTTGACCAAGTTAATGATTGTTGTATTTCAGGGACTTGTCTGATAACATGCTCGAAGGAGACATACCATTTTCAATCTCTAAGCTTAAGCAACTCGAGCTATTGTGAGTCTTGTTTGTACTATTATATCCTTTATAATTTGTATGTTTTTAGAAAGTTGACGTTCAAGTTGTGATATATCTATAATAGGAATTTGAAGGACAACCAGCTAACTGGTCCGATTCCTTCAACACTGACACAAATTCCTAACCTAAAAACACTGTAAGTCATCTTCTGCACTCTTAATCGTCCTTAAGACACCGCACAATTTATGTCTTGCTCGTTTATTTTTACTGAATATGCCCTGCGGTGTGCATGGTTTGAAGTGATCTTGCCCGAAACCAGCTTGTGGGAGAGATTCCGAGATTGATTTACTGGAATGAAGTACTTCAATATCTGTAAGTGAAGCCAGTTTACTCTCAAATATATTACCCCAATTATTAATGGATATACTTGCCATTTTTCTTTCTTTCGTTGAATGTTTGTGCACTTACCATTTTTCCCCGTTTACATTTTTGGTGCACAGAGGATTGCGAGGAAACATGTTAACAGGAACATTGTCCCCTGATATGTGCCAATTGACTGGCCTTTGGTACTTGTAAGTTTTCATCCACGGTTTTTTCTACAGCTTTACTCTTTAACTAGAAAATGCTGTTTCTAACTTACGGTGTCTAATTTATACAGTGATGTTAGGGGCAACAACCTGACTGGTACTATACCTGATAACATTGGCAACTGCACCAGTTTTGAGATTCTGTAAGTTCTTTAAATGTTATAAAACTATTATGAGTCTTAACTGTTCGATGTCCATAAATTTCTACTTTTTCTTGTGTCAGGGATATTTCTTACAATCAGATCACTGGAGAAATACCGTACAATATTGGTTTTCTACAAGTTGCTACCCTGTAAGTCAATTTAAAATTGATTCCGTTTTTTAAATATTTATGTTTAGTATGTTCATGTGTGGAATCCGAGTTTTATGTTTCATAATTGTTCGTTTGGTAGGTCTTTACAAGGGAATATGTTAACTGGAAAGATTCCCGAGGTTATAGGTCTAATGCAAGCCCTTGCTGTCCTGTAAGTATTCTTATTCATACTAAATTTTTTATTTTACTTTTTTAAAGCTTCTGAGAAGTTGGATGTGTATGATACTTTTTTTCTTCAGGGATTTAAGTGAAAATGAGTTAGTGGGACCAATTCCACCAATTCTTGGAAACCTCTCTTACACCGGAAAGCTGTAAGTTCTAATCCTCTCAATTTTTTTATGCGTTGCTTGGGGCATATTTATACCGTTTTAGGTACTTATAAGTCATAGCATTGCAATTATTTTATTTCAGGTATCTCCACGGAAACAAACTTACTGGTCCAATACCACCCGAGCTGGGAAATATGTCAAAGCTAAGCTATTTGTAAGATATATATGCTCATTGCAAATGTGACAATATTCATATTTCCATCTTTGTTAAAACCATGTTCGCTAATTTAGCTTATTTTGCAGGCAATTAAACGACAACCATCTGACTGGAGGTATTCCTGCTGAACTTGGGAATTTAGACCAACTTTTTGAACTGTGAGTCACTTTCTACATAAATGGAATTTGTTTCTCTTCTCCTTCTTGATAATGTAATATAATGAATGTGGGACATGGCTTTCAACAGAAATCTGGCTAACAACAATCTAGAAGGTCCCATTCCCGAGAACATCAGCTCTTGCACGGCATTAAATCAATTGTAAGATCTCCCGACTTATTTACATAAAGATTCATTTAGTTTTATCTGTGACTAATTTTTCTAATACTTTGTTGTTTCTTTTTCCTTCCCAGCAATGTGCATGGTAACCTTTTAAACGGATCCATTCCTTACGGCTTAAAACATCTGGACAGCCTTACTTATCTGTATGTTTCCATTCTATAATCCTGTTTATTCTAAACAAGCTTCAATTACTTTAATATAAAGAGGATTTTTTTTTTTATTTTTTATCTTCAGGAATTTTTCCTCAAATCAATTCAGAGGCAACATACCACTTGAGCTTGGGCACATTATAAATCTTGATACATTGTAAGTTTTCATGAATCAAATTAAAATCTCAGAAAGTTGCTTGTATTTTTATTTTTGTATGACTTAATTTTTTCTTTGTCAAAGGGATCTTTCAAGTAACTACTTCTCTGGATCTGTCCCTGCATCTGTTGGTGACCTGGAGCATCTTCTTACTCTGTAAGACTTGTCTATTATTTTTTTGTATTTCATATATAATTGTTTGATGCAAAATAAAATATATCTAAAGTGTACTCTTGATTTTAGGAATCTAAGTCACAATCATCTTAGTGGATCAATTCCCTCTGAATTTGGTAATCTGAAGAGCATACAAACAATGTGAGCTTTATTCAAATTTAATACATCCCGATAAATATCCAATTTTATGTAAAGATTATATTTCTAAAAATTCTATAATTTATATAGGGATATGTCTTTCAACAAGTTGTCTGGGAGCATCCCTGAAGAGTTGGGGCAAGTGCAGAATCTAGCCTCTCTGTAAGTTAATCATACAAGTTATTTTTTCGAGCTGTTCACTAGTCTTTATAATAGACTCTTATTTCGTGCATACGTCACTTCAATTATCGTTGGTTTCTGATTTGCAGCATATTAAATAACAATGCTTTGAGTGGAAAAATTCCTGAGCAGCTAAGCAACTGCTTAAGCCTAGAGAAACTGTGAGTTCTATTAAATTTATCTTTATTTCGCCTGGAGATCTTGTTGTCAGTAACTAATTCATTTTGTTATTCAGGAATTTCTCTTATAACAACTTTACTGGGTTGGTTCCTGTAGGCAGAAACTTCTCTCGGTTCTCACCCGACAGGTACAGCGAGAAACGAAAAGAAAATAAGATTTTTCTATCAAACTCAATTATGTTAAATATATTCTTGTTACTTATGATGTTCTTTTATAATCAGCTTCATTGGCAATCCGTTATTATGTGGCCACTGGTTGGGCTCAATCTGTGATCCATACCCCCCAAAGCCGAAAGGTACAACAACCCTTTTCGTTTTTTGCATTTCATCTATATTTTTTTTCTTAAATTTATTATTAATCACCTTTGATCTTTCTTCAGCTATATTTTCAAGGACCACAGTAGTTTGCATCGCATTAGGCTCCGTCACATTGCTCTCAATGATAATAGTTGCTATATACAAATCCAACCAGCCAAAGCAGTTTCTCAAAGGCTCTAACAAGAGTACCATGCAAGGTTGGTTAACCATTCACTCTCTTCATTATTTATCTGTTCAAAATTCGAAATTCCGGTTTTGATACCGTTTTTATTCCCCTGTGAATAGGTTCGACGAAGCTGGTTGTGCTTCACATGGATATGGCCATTCACACATACGAAGATATAATGAGGCTCACTGAGAATATGAGTGAGAAATACATAATAGGATACGGAGCTTCGAGCACAGTATACAAATGCGTGTTGAAAAATTCCCGACCAATAGCAATTAAGCGACTCTACAATAATCAGTACCCTAACGACACCCGTCTGTTCGAAAACGAACTAGGCACAATCGGAAGTATACGGCATAGAAACCTTGTCACCTTGCATGGCTACTGCTTCTCTCCGCAAGGGAATCTTCTCTTCTATGATTACATGGAAAACGGATCCCTTTGGGATCTTCTTCATGGTATAATGTTTACATTTTTATTTGAGGGTTAAATAATCTTTTGAAATTCAAAATAATAATTGTATTATATTCATTGCAGGGCCATCGAAGAAGGTGAAACTGGACTGGGAAATGCGTTTGAAAGTTGCGGTTGGAGCTGCACAAGGGCTTGCTTACCTTCACCATGACTGCAATCCGAGAATCATTCACCGAGACGTGAAATCTTCAAATATTCTACTCGATGGAAACTTCGAAGCCCATCTTTCCGATTTTGGAATAGCAAAATGTCTTCCCACTACAAAAACGCATGCGTTTACTTATGTTTTGGGGACAATAGGCTACATTGATCCAGAGTACGCAAGAACAATTAGGCTAACTGAAAAATCAGATGTTTACAGTTTCGGCATTGTGCTACTCGAGCTATTAACGGGAAAGAAAGCCATTGACAACGACTTGAACTTACATCAGCTGGTAAGTAAAACTATTCCCCAAAAAAATTGAGTTTTCTTGAGTTTTCATCTAAAAGAACACGAAGAAAACAAAAACATGATCTTTTTTTTTTTTTGTATTTTTGTAGATGCAGTCTAAAGCGGACGATGATACGTTAATGGATGCCGTGGATCCAGAAGTTTCCATTACGTGTACGGATTTGTCTCATGTAAGAAAAGCATTCCAGCTGGCATTGCTTTGCACGAAACAGCATCCCACAGCGAGACCAACTATGCACGAGGTTCGCAACGTTCTCGTCTCTTTGTTGCCTTCTCCACCAAAGAACACAACATGCTCAACAAATACGAAAAGTGTCGACTACGCACAGTTTGTGGTTGGTAAAGAACAACAGCCTCATCACTTGCAAACCCCTCAGCAGCAGCAGCAGTTACAACAGGACAACAGTTCATCATCCGATGCTCAATGGTATGTAAGATTTGGTGAGGTTATTTCCAACAACACTTTTTGAGTGGATTAAGGTTAATATTATGTCGTACGGGGTATTTAAAGGAAGGGATAAATGTCATCCCAGTTTTGTTTTGTTGTTTCCCTCGTAAGAGAATTTACTACAAAACCATATAACTTTTGAGGGAGTTGGCAAGTAATTATAAAATAGTTTAATTTGTAATATAGTGTTAAGTAGGATTATCAAAACTCTGATGCTGCAATTACTATTATGTCCTTGGATGGTGATGTAACTACTAACACTAGTTAAAGAAATTTGCATGGAAGCAGTCCATGATTTGATAATTTAATATGTGATCCACTTTTCAGAGTTCCTTGTTTTATTCAAGTATTATACGGCAATATATATATATATATATATATATATATATATATATATATATATATATATATTAGAAGGCGATTTAATTCCACGGATAAAATTTAGGGTAAAATTCGAAAGGTATCATTTACCCCTCTGAAGTATAGAAAACATCAAACGTCCCCCTATTTTTGATGGTCAGTAGTCAAACTTTTAACGGTGTTAAATTTGAGCGAGAAATGACTCTTTTATCCTGCTTTATGTAAGATATAATCCGTAACTTTGTTAAAATTTATTTTTGTGGATTGTTAACGACTTTTAGTGTTCATTTAAATTGGATTTTTTTGTCGATTTTAGGGGTTTTCAAAGGTTTGAAAAGAACGAAAAAAATCTGGTGGATAATGGCCAAAATTAAGCAACCTATACATAGAGATTTTTTGGGGTATATTCGTAAAAGAAAAAAAAACCTCTTAGCAACAGCCGGTCAAAAGGTTTGACTAACGGAATTAGGAAAAAAACTAACGGTAGGGGGGTATTTGATGTTTTCAATACATCGAGGGGGTAAATGATACATTTCGCATAGTACATGGGTGCAAAATGAATTTTACCCTAAAACTTAATCTGCAGTTAATATATTCACATATAAGCATTTTTGAAGATTGTATTTAAGAGATTTTTCACATTAGTGAATTTCCCGCCCCCAATTTCATTTCAATATTCGATATTTTGATTTTAAATTTACCTTTATATTTCCCAAATGGGCTGAATAATTTTAGTATATCACTTGATTGGGCTTAATACAAGCACAACTGAAGCCCAAAACTTGTGTGTTGACCCAATAAGGCTTTGGAACCCATACGTAAATGGGCTGAATGATTTTTGTATTGTGCTTAACCCAAGTACAATGGTCAGCTCAAAACTTCTTGGGCTGGTCCAATGAACCCACACGTAAATGGGCTTTTACACCCTTCGAACTTTTGTTTTTTTTTGGGAGTTTGCTACAATTCCAAATAAATTACAAAAAAACTTAATTAGCTTTTCGAAATTCCAAATTTTTAAAATTTATTTTACAAACAATATTTTATTTTGGAAAAAGAATAAAAATAAATGACGTCACAAATAAATGCACATTACACCAGGCAACCATAATATCATATACTGAAGACATACATTATGGTTTTCGAATTCGAAGCGACGATTTCTTGACTGCGTTAAAATAGGTCCTCGAACAAAATCTAGCAACAAATAAAAAAAAAATGGAAGCTGCTTAATAAGTAACATAAACCTCCTATATTATATATAACAAAAAATATACTAGTAAAAAAAAAAAAGTCACTAGCCACTGTAATCTCCCTCGGCAAATTTATTTTCTGGATAGAAGACAGCCAAAACTTCATTTCCCCCAAATTTTCTTCCATTCAGTCCTTGTCTAGCTTTCGTTGCACCTTCAGTGTCCGTGTACTCCAAGAACACCTGCACAAAATAAAATTCATTTTCACCGATAAAATAACAAACGAAAAATATAATATACAACTGTATTGGACAAAGGCCTTTCTAAATTAAAGAAAGAATTGCTCAGTAACCAACCTTTCCTACACCTGCTGCCATGTCACCATCGAGGAGGGGGCGCGGAATTATCACATTCACCAGCGTACCTGCAAAATAATTAATGCCAAAAGCTGAAATCAATATTTAAACAATATGTTAAGGGATTACAAAAAACGACAAGGTGATTTGAAGAACTTACCAAACTTTGCACATTCAGTTCTCATGTCTTCTACTATATCTTCATAGTCATTGTCATCCTTGAGCTCCTCCGGATTAACCACTTCCGTTAAGCACACAACCTTTGTAGCTGGTGCACCACTGGGTGCTGCTAACATAAACCTCTGCAAAAAAATTAAAAAAAAACCGAAAAATTAGTTCACGAATTGTATCTAGCAGAACAGAAAAGGGGTGATTAATATGAACAATCTTGAGTATGATGGTATGGAATGTGAAGGATCAAGAAAAACAAAAGGAAATTAAAATCCCATCACCTGCAATGCTATTTGTTGCTGGGCGTGCAATAGCACACTCTCTTGCTCGGGTTTAGGTTGTGTTGTACCCTGGTTAGCACGCCTGACAGTGAGGGTCTTATCACCCATCTTTATCCCATTAAGAGCTCCACAGGCAATGTCAGTAACTGATAAATCCTGGTAAACACAAAATGCATAGCCTTTCGAGTTCCCCGTTTCTCTATCTTTAACCAGGTCAAAGCCCCGAAGAGGACCAAAGGACTCGAGCAGCTCCCTAATCTGTGATTCTGTGAAATAATATGGTAGCCCACCGACAAATATGCGGTCAGGGCCTTCAAGCCCACCAGCAGAGCCAGGTGACAAACCAACAACTGAGAGATTCAGATTAGGATTAGGTTGACTGGGTCCAAGAGTGGCAGCTAATGAGGGATTATAATCACTCGGTCGTCTCACTTTAACTGGTGCACCCTGAACAAACAAAAAAAAAAGCAGTTTAGTTATAGGAGAATTGTGCCACCGAGAAATACCACAAAAGAGAGACTAGTGAAATATAAACTCATACAATTAATTAGATCCAATTGATATAATGAATTTTCAGAGCATAAAGATGAAATGCATGTTACCTCAAAGATAATGCCATCTAAAGCCATTGCATTGCTAGCCTCTTCAACAGATCGCATCTCCACAAAAGCAAATTTTTTCTCATGGTTAATATAAACATTCACCACAGCATCTCCTGAATCATTAATATAACAGTATAAAGCATTCATCAAATTTGTGTCAGATAAATGAACATAATAATTCATAAATTTGTGGCTGACTAACCTGGCCCGGCAGTGTTCCCTCCAATTGCTGACATTACATGACTGAAGTACGTTGCCACAGACTGCAAAGAGAGGAACATAAGCAATATAATATAAGCAGGTGAGCTAGAGGAATAAGGGAATGATCAAGGTATTTGATAGGCAAAACATAGCCAAGTACTCAACTACCATGCAAAATAATGGCATGAGTAGTAAACACTTTAATATTACTAAGTATGCAACAGTACATATGCAGTGCTGCAGATAGCACGGTATATATCCAACTAAGAGGGCCAAAATGATAAATCTACAGAGATAGAACATAGTATATTATTACCTGTTCATTAGCAGTTGGAGGGAGACCACCAACATAGACCCGTCGAGCATGTCTGGTAGCCTGACAAACAACATTTTTTAAGGAATATTTTATGTTACATAAAATGCATAAGAACTAGAAAAGGAACACAGAAATCAACCTGCTGAGTCATCGCTTGAACGGGCATCATTTGGAGTGCTCCAAACTGCCAGCAAGTCAAAATAAATATTTAAAAGCGGAATCAAAGAGATGAAATGAGTTACGGGGAAAAGAGTGCACAAACCTGTGGTAACATATTAGGAAACATCGGAGGAATGGCGGGGGTAGCTCCAGGCAGCTGACCTGTGAAGGCAAAAACTAAATTAGATCTCAAATATTAAAGTTGGTAAATATATTCTAAAATTGCAGGAGTACGAGTAACAATAGACAGTATATTATTTTCCTTCCTTGATAATAGTTCATATTTTAAAGCTGACTATCATCTTGCAATGAAACTCCAATGGAAACAGCAGCATCTATTAAAATTGTTGTAAAAACTACTAAACATGCAATCCTGGTTGAAGATGGACAAGACCTGTATTCATTCTTCCTTGGTACATAAAAGCTACAGAGGTCGGCTCACGCCCATTGTCAGCACAGTGGGGCTAGTAGCCCAAAATTGCCTTCTTAGAACATAACATAGGACATACAAAACAAACAAAGAAAACCAAACACAACAAGAAACCAAAAAACCCTCAGTTTCAATCACTAAGCAAATAATTATATAAAGAACTGAATAATCAATCAGGGGACAAGAACAACAAATTGTGATATGTGCAAATTGAAGGACCGAGTGCACTTACCCAAATGAAACCACGTATTTCGATAAGAACTTTCCACACTATATCACAGGGAAAAGAAGAAAAAAAAGTGACAGTTATGTAACAGCTTAGTTGTGGATCAATTGTTTGGCTGTACCTGAAACAGCAGCAGCAGCGGCAGCAGCACTAGAAAGCAAATTAGCAGCAGGTGCCATGTCAAAACCACTCATCCTTTTGCTGTGAAGTCATATCGTTAAGGATAAAGACTAATGAAACAGGTTTGTGTTCTAGTGATAGATGAATTAAGCAAGTAAAATAACCTTTACGAGTGAAACAACACTAAATTAACATTTTTATTTATATAGAAGCACCAATGATGATGATAAGCCGAGCATCAAAAAGTCAAAAGCAATTATGCCAGCTAACTACTTGCATGCACAATGGATCTATTTACTTATCATGCAAAAAGGTTCAAAGACATGTCTTACAATCAGATCATGCATTACCTCACCAAAAAAATTGATCAGTAATATTTCATATTCCAATGACTATGATGTGGCCAAGTGAGCAGTGTGATGTCATAATCGCACATCTGGAAACACACCATTTCACTGAACAGGGTGTGGAACACCCACATGGAACAAGAAATATGTTTACTTCAAATATTGTTACAAGAAACTGATTGCAAAGAGAACACATAACTAAATTGGCCAATGATGAACTCATTATAAATCATAAACAAGTTTCGGAGAAGTGACAAAGGAGAGAAACTTGTTTGTGACTCCTATTATTTGCTCGTTTCAGAGACTAACAAGCAGATAAAAATAATAAGAGTCACTACATCATGTTGAGAATAAAGACAGATTTCACTGCATTCTCAATCAGAGCTCACATAATGAGAACAGTAGAATCAAGGTCATGTAGTCAGAAACCAGTGACTTACTTTCTACTTCTTTTAAATTTGTTTTTTCTTTAATAAAACTTAATTTAAATCTTAAACAAATGGTCTACCTTCCTTTTGTTTTGTATGTATCATCTTGCACGAGAAATGATCCAAACCAGAAATTACAAAGAACAAAGAGAAGGTTACTATCACAAAATACCTTTTGGAGCGTGAACGAGATCGTGACCTTGATCTGCGCTCGGATATAGGCTTAGAGTGTGATCTAGATCTCCGTATGTGTCTATCCTCCCTATCTTTGTCGTAATCTCTACGCCTGGAAGCCATAGTAATTCATAAAGTTAGAAACCTTTGAACAAACCAAGGAATTTTGTGATGCTGCGAAGGCAGCCATATACGGAGTCATAGCATATAACAGCAAAAGCCTAAAACTGATACAGTAAATCTAAGCCGAACGACGGGCAGATTGACAGCAATTTAAAAAAAAAAAAAAAAAAAAATCACAAGTTGCAGTTTCTTCACCTGTCATAGTCTCGGCTTCTGCGATAGTCATCTTCATCATCTCTATCTCTGGTCCTCTCCCTTCTCTCACCTCGATCCCTGTGGCGGTCTCGATGATGACGATCACGATCCTTGTCTCGATCGCTGTCCCTATCTTTATCCCTGCCCCTCTCCCTATCTCTGCCTCTCTCCCTTTCTCTCTCTCTGCCCTTATCTACATCCCTCTCACGGTCTTTATCTCGACCTCTTTCCCTTTCTTTGTCCCTGCTTCTGGAGGACTCCCTTTCTTTGTCCCTCACTTCATCACGGGATGCATGCTGCAGAAAGTGTCATAAAACAAATGTGAAAACGAAAGGAGAAAAAGAAAAGGGTTCAAATATAGGAAAGCGTAATCACGACAGACAACATCGGCTCCAATACAGTTCCCAGTATCTTTTAACATTAAAAAAAAACTGATGCAAGCACATTTTAATTACAACATTATAAAAAATAAAAAAACTACTCCTCAAAATGGGGGGAATATAAATGAAAACAAGGGATTTAAGATTCTTGTTACTGCAGTGCAATATACAGAATTGGGACCTAGTATTCATAATCTGCGAGGTGTCTGTGAGAAGAAAACGAACTCCTCAACTTTCCAGTTTTGATGCATGAATTGTGTGCCAATAAAGCATGTAATGCAATTCTAGTATTTCAAGCTCTTATATTAGATGGACATACAGTGTAAATAACCATCTAAACCAAGTAATTTGAAGTTGAACAAACTACAATCATCTCTATAAATCTGCATACCTTGGAGCCTCCACTTGATGACCTCTTGCGAGCTTGTTGCTCCATCCCTTCAGTTTCAGGTGACTCCGCGTGAGATGGAGAATCGGCATTCCCATCAAACTCGTGACTCGACATCTGAGTATGTCTGATAAAATGTAAGTTTTCAATCCATAAAATTCTGATACAATTTAGAGCTGATGAATACAAAATTCGAATATGACCTAATAATTCCTAAATCTAATCTAAAGCTTCAGCCCCTCATACAAAACAATATCTCAGCAGCATATAATCAACAAGTTCTACATTGCTGTTTCACAAATTAGAATTCACTAAAAAAAATCGAGAGCAACACAAGACGGTTGCCAAGCTTTGTCGAACAAGGGTTTGTAGAGCCATGAATCTATGGCCAGTGAAGAAGTATTTTGATCGAATTAAACAAACAACAAATTAATACAACATAAACAAACGAACGCAAAAAAAAAATTAATAACACCTTCAACCGACTTTGTTACAGCTTTGTGTTTAAAAACTAGGAAATAAGGATTTACGTCTCGTCACTGCCTTGTTTGCATTTGCGTCAATTCGGAAAATCAAGATGAAAATAAACAACAAGACTATCACATACACAAGAAATTCAAATAAACATTCCTCAATTCTCCTAAAAATCAGAGATCTAACAATTGAATCATAAATAAATTTAAAAAAAAAAAAAAACACGCGCAGTTAGGGAGTACCGTTTGAAAGGACGATTATGCAGCTTGTGTAATCGACAACCTGAATTTTCCGAAACCCTAAATATCTGAATCGGTGTTCAGTATTATTCCTTTTCAATTTCCACTTTTCCGCCTTTCTAGGGTTAATGCGAACTCTGCAATTGTATACGTACACCAGTATATATAAGAATATATATATAAGTATTTTATGCAGTCAAGTACTCGAGAAGATAAGGCCCAGTTTAATTCTATTTGTCTTCCCAGTTCTACCCTTTCTCGTTGGTTTAATTTACTGATTAGTGCACTTATTTCTTATCGGAAAAAAAAAAAGAAAGAAAATTAGTTTATTTTTGGGTAAATTACACCTACTCCCCTCATGTATGCTAAAATAACTTTCAGGTCCTTTTATTATCAAAAATTACAATCACCCCCTGGAACATTACTCTAACGGAATAATAAATTGGATAAGTTATTTCGTTGGGGCTCTAAGGAACTTTTAGTTTCAGTTTCAGACTCTCCTAACATTTCTTAAATTCTTATTGTTTTATATATATATATATATATATTAAATATACTGCATATCGGTCCCGATGACATTAAATTTTACCTCCGGTAATTGTTTCAGTGGTGTGGTTGTAAATACCACCACCACATGGACCTTAAAGTTATTTTAACATATCTCAAGGGTTGTAAGTGTAATTTTCTCTAAAAAAATTATTATTATTATTTATTATTATAATTTGATTCATCATTAATTTACATGATACAATACCTCAATTACAATTCTCAGTTCATCATAAATCCATTTTTCTTTTCTTCTATTTACATATTCACGCATTACATATAATAAATTTAGAAGCATGACAAAAAGTAAAACTGGAGAAACAAAAAAAAATCCTACAACGGTCAAAACTCAAAACACTTACTACCAGTTCTAACATGAATCTATATTACTTTCACTTCTGATTTTATCAGATAATATATCATGTCAAAAATATAAATCATTACAGCAACAACCCCAATAAATTTCATCTACCATCAACCTGTTTCCTTTTTTTTTTTTTTTAAATCCTCAGTTTCTAATAATCACTCCAATTCGATGATCGATCCCGGCTGCCATTGTTTGCTCGTAAAAATGTATCAAAACGAATCGTTCCGTATGCCAATCTCAACGAATGTCCAAGCTTCTGCAAAAGTTTAAATGAAAATCTTACAAACGTTCGAGGATTAAAACTTATAAACATGTATTTAAATTAGATATAAATAAACAAATTACGGATTTGCTTATTACCTGGCCATGTTGTTGCAGGACCAATGTTTAACATCGTGGACTCTCGTAAGTTCACCACATTGACTTGGCTTTGTGTGACATTTCTGCATTTCATTCTCGCGTCTCAAAACATTGAAGATCGAAAATTTAAAAGCATGCAAAAAATTAATCAGCCTATAACAATAATTACACTACACTATCTCTTTACCCAGAATTCAGCTTGGAAAGACTCGCGACCGTCCTTCTTTAATCCCTGATTTAATTAAAATATAAGAGATTAAATCATATAAGAGATTATAACAAATTTTAAATTTATCCCACAATCGCGTTTTTCTACTTGCCTTGGCTGAGAGGTGCCGGTTTAATTGAGATGATGCAGTACTCGTTTTAGTGTCCGATCCCAACGAGAGCTGCAAAATAAAATGAGAAAGGACACTACTTAATTCAGACAGAAACATAGGATATAAATTAAATTATTTCATGTGCAGATATTTATACAGTATATGTACAACTGTTTTACCTTAGATAACTGCTCTGTAGGTGGACTTTCCAATTGTTTAGTTGACAACCTTGGTTCCTGCAGAAAATTAAAACCACTTGTGATTTAATATAAATAGATATATATAAACAAATTAAGAGGGTAACGTCGTCAAAATTCGACATCTATTGTGAGTAAAATTTCCTTTTGATGTTGTTTAGGATGCTTTTAAATAATTTATTTTGCAATAAATTGAACTAAATAATTTACTAACAATTCGGCAAAGAGTTTAAATAGGAAGCTATATTTACATTAGTGACTTACCTTAGTAGAAGCATGGTGATGGGCTCTCTCTGTAGTCTTCAAGTTAAACACCTGATTTAAATTTACGTGAAAAATTCGATTACAAATATATAAAAAAAATTAAAAAATTGTTGACTACAAAAGTGCAATGAAACTGAAAAAGGAAAATTGATCATCAAAATCTTACTTGAAACTCGGGCGATCGTGGTGTGCTCTTTTGACGTTGGAGTAAAGAAGGAGTTTGAAGAATCTGTTAACGAGCGGAGAATAACCGACAATTAATTTTTTTTGTAGATAAAAAAAAATGTGAACTGGTATTTGCGAGAATCGTGTTATTGCAAGTATAAACCTTTTTGTTCAATGGATGCGCTTTGAAGTTAAAGTCCTTTTGCTTTTGTTTCTCAGTTTCACTCGATACGGAACTATTCTTGGACCTGAAATTCAAGAATACAGAGTACTTGACCAAACAATTTCGACTGAAACTTCGACATTGTATTTGGATGTAATAAAAGTTATCTGCAAAAAAAACAAAGGTTTACTTACCCTCTCCTTTGTGCTCTAAGCATCGTCTCCAGTTCCGGTTCTTTTGGAACAGTAACCTTAAATGAATCAAATTTACAAAAAAAAAAAAATCAGCAAATCAAAATCTCGTTGATGGATATATAAGTAAGAAAAAAGAAACATAAATCATAATTTTCGTATGTAACGGTACCTTCTTTGACGATTTATGTAGTAAGGAATATTTATGCTTCAAATGCGCAACCTGAAAAAAAAAAGGATTTACAAGTAAAGGAGTTGTAAATCGGAAATACGCAAACTAATTTACAATCGTAATGCACAATTAGAAAGTTGGTTAATTGCACTGACTCCTCCTTAATCACAAGAAGAAGTCATTGACTTAAGTTCTTGAAATAAGCATATAGTTAAAGTTGACTGACACACCTTTCTTAAGTAACCAATCTCAAGTTTTTGCCGTTTTGTAGCAGAGTTGTCGAGTATGGTAGAACTATGTGAGCTCTTTCCTTCGAGCTTGGCCGATATTTTCTGAAGCCTGATAAACAAGAAACGGAAAAAAAAAAAAAGAGCATGAAAAAACCGGATACCCTAAAGAAGGATAAGATTAAAACCCGAGTGTAAACGAAATTAATTAAGACCTTGTACAAATGTGGCCGGAATGCTTATCATGCACTTTATGTTGTTTAGCCAAATGACTAGCTGTAGGTTCCATTAAGGTTGAACTCTTCGGTTGGACTGGTTTATCAGCCGACTTTGTCTTCAATTTTGGTGTGTTATCCTGATTGCTTTTTCCTGAAGAGAAACGAAAAATCGCCATGAAACATTTTTAATGAAATTCAAATGAGCACTTAATGAAGCTTAAGTAGCAGTTAATAACTACCAAACACGTGTGTAGAAGCCGATAAACGGTCAGCATTTATTAAATTTGACAATTATATAAACTAATGCAAGTGCAATTGTTTCCGTTTTCACTAACCGAATACAACCAGTTCAAGGAGAACGTTTCGTAATGGCTGGAACTAGTTAGAAGAAACACGTGTACAATGATACTAAAAAACACGATCCAAGTCCAAACAAACTGTATATTGTTCTAGTTTCTTAATTATTTCGATAATGCGAAAACGTGAAGAAAAAATTATCAGGCTCTATTATGAGAAATCGAGGACAATTTTCTGTACCTTTAGGATTCTTTTTGGAAGTCGAAACTCCATGCCGACTATCGGAATCTGAAGTGTTGCTGCTTTTTTTGTTGCTATATTTTGCTTTGGCAGATATTACTGAAACTTCCCCATACAATAGTTTTTCCAAATTCAACTTTACAATAAAAGCTGAAAAAAAAAGGTCACAATAAAACATTAGCAAATGGTACTCGTTCGAAGAACGGAAAAAAAGGTACAAGATCGAAATTGATCATGTATGCATACACAAAATTAAAATTGATTAAGTATTACAAAAGAAACACAAAAATAGATTTCCTTGCTGCATGCATAAAACATTAACATGAAACAAATGGAATCCAACTTCATTTGAATTAAATTCTCGCGCGTATACCCAAAAAAACACGAGGACGATTTAATTTTTTCGAAAATAAAATAAAATAAAAATAATAAATAAAAAAAAAAACTCACGAGAAGGAGGATAATTTCCAGAAACATCAAACCACCTCTCCGCCTCATCGATTTCAGAATCGAACTCCGACCTCGTAAAATCGTAAAACTGAGGCGCGTCGAACTCGTACTTGCTGCGCTCCTCCTCACCATTTCCCTCAGGATTAACGTAACAGTCTTCATCGGAATCCTCCATTTTTCCTTTTTACCTTATAAATAATCCGTGAGAATCTCCGGTAAAAAATAGAATATTCCGTTCTGATTTTCTGTCGGAGGAAACCAACGACGCCTGTAAAAAAAAATAGAATATTCCAGAGGGTGGTGAGGAGGACGGAGAAAAAAATGATTTGGTTGTTTGTTTGTTTGTTTTGATTTTTGGGTGTGTTTGTATAATTGTTTGATGGGAATGCAAACTTCTCGTGTTCGTTCAAAAGAAGAGGATGAGAAGAAAGAGAAACAAATCAAGTAACATTCCAAAAATAATGCATTCTGATTTATTTGTATTGAAATTTAGCGCCACACTTTGACAACTCGGAAATTTAAATTTGTGGGACCAATTATTCCATAAATACTTTCCCATTTTTGGTTTCATCGTTTTGACACAATTACCCTCGTCAATTTCCATAATACATTCTGTATTTTATTTATTTATATGTTAAATTAAATAATTTTATTTATTCATGTCGAATTAGTTTTAGCAAGGATCATAACTTATGAGAATATCTATTATCTAAAGGTGTACCGATATCAGATTACATTTGATTAGATAAAATTGGATTAATATTCTATTGACTAACTTGTTATTTAATCAATCAGATGTTTGATTGGTTAGATTAAATTTTGTAGTAAATTTATTAACTTTTTGTATAAATATGAATTGACTAAGAAATCTTTTAATTAACAAAATTACGATATTGTTTTTTAACACAAAATTGATTTTTTCGTTTTTTTAATTATTTCCTACAAAATTAATCTCAGGGGAGAGAGTACTACTAATTTTAACTAAATAATAGAATTAAAATGCGAGCTTCAAGTGTAGTAGCGGATTTGATTAAATATAAATTTTGTTAACCAAACACCTTATTAACTTTTACTATTTAATTAATAAAGTTTAATAGCACTAAGCAAACGATGTTTATATAGTAGCTTTAGCATTTTAAAGCAATAATAAGATATGTTAAATAAAGAACTTACTCGGTTACATAATCTTAAAACTTTATTTAAAAATTAAGAAACTCAGTAACTTATTTTAAAAGATTTATTAATATATTTCTTCATTTTTATGATATAAAGACAAGAAAATGGCGAAGGGCATTCCTGTAATAACACAATTCCGCAAAAGATTCCAAACAGAATCCCCATCTTTGCACAACCCAGCTAAGCAAATCACCACCTCAAAATTCACGAAAAAAAACACACACAATCACACTCTCTCACACACACAGTCACTCTTTCTCGCCACCCAGAAACCCTGGGCACCGTGCTTCCAATTTTATCGCCACCGCCTAGTCGATTTTCCGGCGCGGTATTCCGACGAGTCACATGACCCCGACGCCGAGCCCGGAACCCAAAGAATCACCGCGAAGCCCGAGGGGAACCGGCATGAGACTCATAGTACCTCTACAAGGAGTAGTTCAAGGCAGGGGCGGTCTAATCCTCGGTTCCCTAATCCCCTGCGCTTTATTCTATTTCCTTCAATTTTACCTCAAACGACACCGTTCGCCCCCTTCGAACCCTCCGCCGCGGTCCACGTCGGCGGCGAACCTCTCCGAGCTTCCACGGTCGTCCTCGCGTGCCAATTTGCTCGCACGTGGCTCCACCGGACGCGCCCACTTGTCTGCCCGAGCGTCTTCCATCGCAAAGCCGAACGATTCGCCCTACTACATTGGATTGGATCGGGTGCGAGAGGATCCGTACGACGAGATTGGCAATCCGGATGGTGTTATGCAGCTTGGATTGTCGGAAAACAGGGTAATGATTAATTCATGATTTCTGTTTGTTCATCACTCACCTTGTATTGTGAATTTGTGAGCTTAGTGTTCATATCAACTCTTATTTTAATTTTGTTTTTTTTGGCCTTGAAGCTGTCGTTGGATTTAATTGAAGAGTGGCTTTCAAATAATTTGACTGATTCCGTACTCGGAGTACGAGGTGAGGCTATGGGGCTGAGCGGAATCGCAACGTACCAGCCTATGGACGGATTAATGGCATTCAAAGTGGTAATTCTACAATTCAGTTTGCAGATGTTCTAAGTTTTATTCTACTTGCTTGATTGGTAGTACCTTGGGTTTAAGTTATACATTAAGCATCACTTGACAATGAATGGATTAATACTGAAGCAAATTAGCAAACTCATCTGGTATTTCATTGTTCTGCAAACATAATAATTTTTTAGTAAAGATAACTCGTGCGGTTGCACTTTTGACAAACAAAATCATCAATAATAGATACTATGGTTTTTCATTACTTAGTTTTGAGTGGATTGCGCAGAAAAGGAGGTCACTCTAGGATGTCTAGATCATTTTATGTATACATGGTCTGTAATCCTTGTCAAGTCGTTAATATAGTTGCACCTCTTCATATAGATACGGGAATCTGCACTTGGATTGCACATTTGAATCCAGATTGTCCTTGATTGTAGTTGGTGAAAATGGTATATAGTTATTGAGCTCTGTGTGCATGTACAAAGAGATGGATGCCGTTGTGGCTGACACTATCCATGCTAACGCAGATGATGAATAAAGGAACCAACACAGATGCCTTTTTTTTTTTCTTCCGGCTAAAAAGTAGTGTTTTGAAAGAATATGAGTCAATTGCGAATCCAGTTTTTCTTCAAGTCAACTGTGAGTAGTCAATGGAAAAATCCAAGTCTCCTTAGAAATATTATAAAAATTGCTCGACATTTGTTGCATCATATGTTTCTCATTGTGTTGCAAATCCTTCTACTGAAATGGAATATTAGTCCTAATGTGATACTTGACTAACCTGTTTGGTTGGATTCAAATCTATCGTGTAGGGGGAATATTTGGTGTCGCATAGATACAATCACACGTCATGGACAAGTTCGCTTAATAACTCTTCTGTGCTAGATTTGATTCAAGATATAGATAATCTGATCTAACCTCTTAACAACACTGTATTAAGGAAATAAGCATCAGGATTCCTACGAACATTTGTGCGAAAATGATATACCCTTGATCTTCCTGCCTTTATGAACTTATTTTCTCTTTTAATGTAATAGATTATCAGCATGCAATATTGAAAAGACATAGCGTGCTTCAGATATTATCCTGGAAACTCATTCGAATTTTCGTTTATTTTATTTTCGGAACTTTTGTGTTTTGCATTGTCCTCTCACATGGTGATTCCGTTGTGACTACAACCTCTTTTAGAAAAAAATATTTTTGTTATTGACCCATATAAATTTCGCTTGTGCCTTCATCTGAAGAATATCGTACACATGTTACAGGTGATGGCTGATTTCATGACTGAAGTAATGGGAGGAAGAGTGTCTTTTGACCCATCAAGATTGATATTAACTTCTGGTGCAACTCCTGCCGCTGAAATACTTACTTTTTGTCTGGCTGACCAAGGAAATGCCTTCCTTGTCCCTGCACCCTACTATCCTGGGTATGTATATCTTACCTTTCCCCCCTACTAAATCATCTTCGCTGACATCATTATTTATTTTCTTCGTCATGGATAAAGTTTGATTGTATTTCATTTTCCATTCTTCTAATTGGCGATGAACGAGCATACAATATAACCTTACCACCTTTCTCCAGATTTGATAGGGACATAAGGTGGAGAACAGGAGTTGAGCTAATCCCTGTTCACTGTCGCAGCTGTGATAACTTCACATTAAGCATCACAGCTCTCGAACAGACATTTAACCAGGCAAGGAAACGAGGTCAAAAGGTCCGAGGAATCCTCATTTCTAATCCATCTAACCCTGTCGGGAACTTGCTGAATAGGGACATGCTCTACGATCTCCTAGATTTCGCCAGAGAGAGGAACATCCACATCATATCAGACGAAATCTTTGCAGGCTCAACATATGGGAATGAAGAGTTTGTAAGCATGGCGGAGATAGTTGACGCAGAAGATGCTGACAAGGATAGGGTTCACATCATATACGGATTATCTAAAGATTTTTCCATCCCAGGCTTTAGGGTTGGAGCTATATATTCCTCCAACGAAAATGTTTTGGCTGCTTCAAGGAAATTGACTAGATTTTCTTCAGTTTCAACTCCAACTCAGCTGATTCTTTCATCAATGCTCTCTGATAAAAAGTTCACACAGGAATACATCAAGACAAATAAGAAGAGAATACGCACAATGTTTCACTTATTTGTTGCAGGTTTAAAAGAGCTTGGTTTGGAATGCACAAAAAGCAGCGGGGGCTTGTACTGCTGGGTTGATATGAGCAGATTAATTAGTCCTTACAACGAGAAAGGGGAGCTTGATTTATGGGATAAGCTGTTAAATACAGCCAAGATTAACGTAACCCCCGGCTCGGCTTGTCACTGCATTGAGCCAGGATGGTTCAGATTCTGTTTTACAACTTTAAGTGAAAGGGAGATTCCTGTAGTCATTGAACGAATACACAAAGTTGTTGAAAGTTGTAAACCTCCTGTATAGAACATTGTGGAACCTATGCTTTTTAGCCCTAATTCGCCAGATTTTTTTTTGCCATGGTTTAAATGGAGTGGCAATCTTTTCAATAAACATCGAAACTCGTTCTTGCATCAGAAAACTTATAATATTACAATACGAACATTTAAGAATGATGAAAAGCAGAACTCGCAGAGATTTCTTCAGATACATTATTGCCGGCAAGGCAATATTTTTTTTTACATTAGTTTTAGTTGCAGTTGTCTCTTCCACTTCGTATGCAGTCCCCTGAGTCCATTGCCACTTCCTAAAATGCCGCAAGCGAAGGCGTTGCCCTTCAAAAAGTCCTGCCATCAGGTAATAATTGTTTTTTAGTTGCTGTATCTATTAAATTGCTATAAATAGGTTTATGTTCAATAGATAATAAAAGGAACATATATCGTTACCATGGACCGCTGTTTGGGCATCGATATAACTTTCCTCTGGCAACTTCTTCTTCGACTCATAACTATCAGCTCTCCAAGTGTCAGCAAAGGTCGTCTAACAAGACTGCAGTTCCTTTCATGCAGGAATTCTCTCTCTTGCACATCTGCTTCACGAGAAGAATCTTTCGGCACTAGCAGAGGAAATAGCCACTCCAGGAAAGAAGCCCCGACCAAGCTCGTACTTCCCGAGGCAGTACTCTCCGTTTCAGAATCCGATGAATAGGGACCCTCCTCCACCTGTCCACCATACGTAGTAGTAGTTGTCAGTGCAAGTGAAGTTTCGTACACAGGTACAGCGTTTGAAAGTGCGTTGGTTGATACCAGAGCATTCGCCATGAGACACTTTGCTGAACTGAACGAATCTTCTGTTTCAATACTGTGCGAGTCGATCTCCGAGTCTGATAATCCATCTCCTTCATTGTAACTCGGACTCCAGTTCACGGAATCATGGTCAGAGTATTTTGGAGGTGGTGAATAGACAACGATGCTGTTTTCATACGAGGGTGAAAGTTTCGACTCTTTTGGAGGTTGTACAAAGGAACGGAGTGGTGTGCCGGGTTTTTCTTCCCATCCGAAAGGAACTGACACGACGAGCTTCGGAGGTGGTACAGCGTGCTTAATTGGTTGTACAGTCGGTTTCCAGTCTTTCTTCGGCTTCCCGGGTTTCTCTTCCCATATGAATGGAACAGAAATCGGCTGTCTCTCTCTCCTTTTGTCGCTCTTAGAAGGTTGCCTTTCTGCTGCCATTTTTGAAGTGTTGTGTGATAACAAATTTGTGAGATTACTCTTTGAATTAGATCTCTGTATATATAGTTTGTGGAATGAGTGGAGTTGTGGTTTTTCAACTAATTCATTGGACTCTACTAACTGAACCATTTTTGTTTTCAAAATTAGGCTTACCTAATCTCTTATTTGAATAATATTTAGACCCTTGTTTATTTTTATTTATTTTAAATGGTGTTTTACCAATTGCATTAAGATAGTGCCCTTTGTATTAACAAAATTTTATCCTAGTGGGATTGAATCTATAATAAATCCTAAAAGGTGCTTCTTGTGTGGGAGGTTAGGCATTGACCGAGTTAATTTCAAGAGTTGAAAAGCACTGGAAAAAGTCAAAATAGACCAGACTGCAATTTAATCGTCGTGATGCATAATAATTTGAAATACTCCATGAATTTTAAAACAGTTGTCATCTAAGATATAGTACATTAGATATATGTATTCTGAAAATTAGTAAATACGAAAGAAATTAAAAAAAAAATGATCCAGTCTCTTTCCAAAATAAATTATTATAATAGTTTAATATATTTTAGGGTAAATTACAATCACCCCTGAGGTATGGTCAAATTATAAAAATTCCCTATCGTTTGGATAATTACATCTACCCCTCAACTATGAATCTTCTTACCACTCCACCCTTATGGTGTTAAATTCAACATAATCATCTAAATTCCGTTGAATGTGCTCTAGTATGTACTCGTTTTGTGTAAAGATACAGTTTCTGATGCACCACAATTTGATATATACAAGCAAAAAAACACATCTTATAATCATCTTGCTTCAAAATGTGGAGCTCGAATGGGATAAAACGAGTACAAAAGTGATAATATTCCATATAATCAAGAAGATTCCACTAAATTTGAAACCACAAGGGTGGACGTGTAAGAAAATTTATGGTTGAGGGGGGCTTTTGTATAACCCAAACATGAGGGGATTTTCGTAATTTTACCATACCTCAGGGGTTGGTTGTAATTTACCCTATATTTTATTTTTATAAGGGCAAATTACGGCCACCCCCCTCAGGTATGGTCAAATTACGAAAAAACTCCTCTTGTTTGGATAATTACAGCCACCCCCCTCCTTTTAAATATTTTTACGTAAAATTTATGTAGTTCGGTTATTTACCGAACCAAATCGTATATTTAGTTCGGTAAACGGTATGAAATGCTGGCGTACCGAAATTTTGGTTCGGTTTTATCGAATTAACATCCCTAAATTTACCTCTTGAGGGGTCTTTTCGTAAGATAATACATAGTTGAGGGGGTGGTTGTAATTACCCAAACACGAGGAGGTTTTTTGTAATTTCACCATAGCTCAGGGGTTGGCCGTAATTTGCCCTTTTTATAATTGTTATTGCACATTATTTAAATAATAATTCTTTTTTACTAGTTTTATGGAAAGAAATAATAAGTGTCCAGATAAGCAGTATTCTGTTGCTACTCAAACTTAGAGTCCAAGAAAGACTTCAGAGATTCATATTATTTCCTTTACCAAATCTAAATCAAATTCCCCTAATTCTATATAATAAACAGATTTCAAGCCGTAGAAGAACAATTACGATTACTTATCCAAAAAAAAAAAAAAAAAAGAAGAACAATTACGATTTAGGATCATCACCTACAGCACAAGTCTAATGGATTCGTCTTCTTCTTCTACTGATAACGGCGGCGGCAGGCACCGGCCGGAGGAAGAGAGCCCCCTCTGCGCCCGCGGCTGCGGATTCTTCGGCACGGCGGAGAATCGCGGCCTCTGCTCCAAGTGCTACTCCGACGAACTCAAAGAGAAGATGGCCAAATCGGAGCCGTCAATAATCGGCACGAGCCAGCAGGACTCCTCCGTTCTTCCCGCCGCCGCCGATCAATACAAATTCCCGACGGAACTCGAAATCGAAAAATTGATCGATGCTTTGAAGGCAACAACGATTCCAGAAACCGACGGCGGCGGCGGCAAACCCTCGGTCTCCGCCGCCCCTCCAGTCGCGAAGAACAGATGCGAATCGTGCAGGAAGAAAGTTGGATTATTAGGGTTTGTGTGCCGGTGTGGGGGCACGTTCTGTGGGGCCCACAGGTACCCGGAGGCGCATCCCTGCCGGTTAAATTTCAAGGAAACCGGAAAAATTACGATCGAGAAGGAAAATCCGGTTTGCAAAGCTGACAAGATTTCAGATAGGGTTTGATCGTTACAGTTTTTTTTTTCTTTTTCTTTTTAATAAATAAATTTAGGACTATTGATTTTTTTTTAGCTAATTTCGAATTCTTCATTGACAATGCAAGATTGTTAATATTACTATATTTTTTTTTCTATTCAATCCATCAGCTTTGATATGCCTATACTATTTAATTTATGAAATAGTTTGGATAATTAAATAAAAAAAAAATTCTTCATTGGTTTCTTCTGAACTTAGCATAGGTTATTTATTTATTTTGTGTAAATTGAAAATTGCGTGTATGCATGCATGCACCTCAATGAATGGTACTCTACTGATTACTAAAGAGCTGTATTATTAAAATGTTTACCCCCTTGAAACTAAATCAATAGAAATATTTTAATTTAGGTCCACAATTAAACCCTACTATTTGCAATTAATTTTGAAGGGATGACTAAAATGAAATAGAAAATACAATTTTATCCTTGAGATAATGATTTAATTTTGTTAAAGAATAGACTTTATAGACAATTCACATGTAATACAAGAATTTAACAAAATTGATACAAAATCCAAACAAGGCCTTAGGCCAACATGTATTAATTATTGTTTGCGACAATTTTGATTAGATTGTCAACATTTTATACTTTTATAATTAACTTGTCACAATTACTCCCAATGTAACAAAGTAAACCAATGAATCCAAAGCAAATATATGGCAATAAATCCCAAAACCTTCAATAAACAAGTTTTGTAAAAAAGAAAAAACATGTTGCGATTATACAATACAACCTCGTTTGCTTGCTACTATTAGTTTAGATTGGCTAAATAGCATAAGATAGTAAGATATATGGTTGGTAGAATTAACATTACTCAAGTCCGCTACTATATTACTATATCATGTAATTAGTAACACCCCTTTGTCCTACGATTAATTTTTGTAGCGGATGATTGAAATAGAAGATTACAATTTTATCCTGAGATATGGTCAATTTACGAAAAAATCCCTATTGTTTTGATAACTACATCTACACCCTCAATTATGATTTTTTTATGACACTTATTACACTCTTATGGTCTCAAATTCAACATAATCATCTAGATTTCGTGGAATGTGCTCTAGTTTTTACTCGTTTTTGTGTATAAATACACTTTCTGATGCACCACAATCTGATATATGCAAGCCCAAAAACACATATTATGATCATTTTGCTTCAAAATGTGGAGTTCGAATGGGATAAAACGGGTACAAAAGTGATAATATTCCATATAATCTCGAAGATTCCACTAAATTTGAAACCGGAAGGATGGACGTGTAAGAAAATTTATAGTTAAGGGGGTGATTGTAATTACCCAAACAAGAGAGAGGGTTTTCGTAATTTGACCATACATCAGGGGTGGCTATTAAATAATTTTTTTTTTTTAAAGAATTCACATATGGTAACAAAATCTAACAAATTCAAGCATAGAATAGAAGTAGAATTCTATTTACTACAAAGACTAAAACGCGTGTCCAATAAATCACCGATTCGAATTCCCTTTTCCAATTCTATTACAAACCCTCCCCACTATATATACGACCCACGCCCCCATAAACAGAACCATCACCCCCAAAAACAAAATTCAAAAAGTATAGCAAGCTAATGGATTCCTCTTCTTCTTCTTCTACCGATAACGGCGGCAGCCACCACCACCCGCACGAACAGAATCCACTCTGCGCCGCCGGCTGCGGCTTCTTCGGAACGGCGGAGAATCGCGGCCTCTGCTCCAAGTGCTACTCCGACGAACTCAAAAGGAAGATAGCGAAATCAGAACCGGCCGCAATAATCGGCAAGGTCGAACAGCAAAACGAGATCGACAGCAATCCGTTGGAACTCGAAATCGAAAAATTGATCGATGCTTTGAAGGCAACAACGATTCCAGAAATCGACGGCGGCAAACCCTCGGTCTCCGCCCCTCCGCCTCCGGCCGTGAAGAACAGATGCGAATCGTGCAGGAAGAAAGTTGGATTATTAGGGTTTGCGTGCCGGTGTGGGGGTACGTTCTGTGGGGTCCACAGGTACCCGGAGGCACATCCTTGCCGGTTTAATTTCAAGGAAGCCGGAAAGATTGCAATCGAGAAGGAAAATCCGGTTTGCAAAGCTGATAAGATCGGAGATAGGATTTGATGAATACTCGATTTATTTTTTCCTTTTGATTTAGAATTATTTGATTTCTTTTACCTGGTTTTAATTTCTTCGTTCATACTGTATATATTGTTACTTTTAGTTTTTTTTTGAAGAATACTTTTAGTTGATCAATTTATATTTTTGTTAATCAAAAATATAAATTAACAACTCGCTTAAATAATAAATTTTTCCGATCTCAATTCGGGGATAACATGCTAAATTAATAATTCGTTAAATTTATAAGATAATACACATTCGAAAAATTCAAGAAGCCCCAGATAATATATATATTAATAATGCATAAAAATAATTTTTAAATTACACGGTACAATACATATTTTATTATAACTTTCGGTATAGTTTTCTCATAACTCAACATAAATTTTATACCATTGCTACTAATACATATTTTATTATAACTTTCGGTATAGTTTTCTCATAACTCAACATAAATTTTATACCATTGCTACTTTAAGAGCTTCTGTTCGTGCAACGGACTCTATAGTGCATTGAACTAGTGGTACACTCGTAAAAACATGTATATATTGAAAATAATAATAAAAGTAATTTCATAAGTTAATAAGTTATTAATTAATTTATAAATTAATAATTATTAATTTATTGATAAGTTAATATTTCGCTAAATTAATGAATTTTGATGGTTGTAAGTGTATTAATTTACAGATGTTTAATTGTATATTATTTTACTTTTATGATAAATTACATCCGCCCCCCTGAGATAAGGTCTATTTACGAAAAAAAACCCCTCATGTTTTCATAATTACATTTATCTCTTCAATATGTAGATTTCTTGTATTCAAACCCTTTTATATGGGTGAGTGTAAGAAATTTACAAACTACAACGACTAAATGTAATATTCACACACCTTTATCAAACTTGTTGTACCGAGATGTAGGGACATTTTATGTGTTTAAATTCTAACCGCGGGCTTTTGACGGTGAGAAGGATAACGAACGGAAATAAGACGGTGAGAAGGATAACGAACGGAAATAACGACGACGTTGAGTTAATGGGCTTTCGACCTTGATATCTAAAACTAGTAGAAGGACATGTCATGATTAAGCCCATTAATTAGAAATCAAGAAAATAATACAAGTACCAAATTTATTTCTGCTTTTTCCTCAAAAAAAAAAAAAATTTATTTCTGCTAGCAATTTGGGCCGGGCTTCTCTGTGTTCTCCGAGGCCTTGTCATTTTCCAGATCCAACTGAAATAGCTCATAATTTTGTACTCTTTCATAATTACCAACACAATTAATGATAAATATATAATTAAAACATACTTCAGATATATTTCAATGTACTTGTATAATATGAGGCATAAACTGAAATTAAAACTGATAAATCAAATGCCAACCAAATCTATCAAATGGGGCCAATAATATCACTTGATGTCAAATTGTCACCTAACCAAGAATATATGAATCAACTTATAGGTGAGGAAAAAGAAAAGGTAAATGTTGAAGGTAAATGGTCAATTAGTGAAAATTTCGAATTTTTTTTTATGATTGATACTGAAAGAATCAATGGCTCCGAATTCATATTTAAACAGTTTAAATCATAGAGCTTATGTAAGGTGTGATAACGCTCTACATGTATCGGAATAAATGAAAAGAAACAAATATCCACAAGTGAATACTTACGGATTGTCTCCAGGGGCGAAAATCTTATATAAACAATATTACAAGAATGCACAATAAATGAAGTAAACAATCTTCCCAATCATGAAGGTATCTTACACAGATTCTTCGTACAGTCAAGCTTAACTTCTCAACTCAAATTAACAGACCTCTAGACTAACAAACTATGCAGTCAAAGTGAGTACTTACAACAGACTTTAGAAGGGAAATAGAAATAACTTTATTCTAATTTCTTCTCATCTCCAATTGCTTTCTCTCTTTTCTCTACTCAAATCCGTATTTCAAAAACTGGCAATGTGGACTGTATTTATAGCCTTGAGAACATGTCCATTACATGCACATGTTAAGCGAGAAACCAAACACTAATCCACTATTAATAATCGCTTAAACCATGATCTAATTTAGATTTTAGAAAAGTTAAAACATGTGCACTAATTCATCCACTACTTTCAAATACTTTGTCAAAGAAAAATCAAAAGGCAATTCTTAACCTCTTCTCAAATATTCAAGATTCGTAATTAAGAAGAGCTAAAAAAAATAAAACTTTTTTACTTTTTTTTAATAATATTTAATTGTTATAGAAATCATGTGAAGAGCCATTGATTTCATGCGCACATGCATGTTTGGCTGGCCACCATCAAACCCTGGAAAGATGAGCCCTTAATTCATAAATTACTCATATCTCATCAATTAAATACACCCAAAATTGAATAATTCCAAAGGCCCACTACCAATCATAAACACAGCTGCAATCTGACATTTTTTTATTCTTGGATAATTTATTTAATAAATAAAAAAATTAAAAATTAAAAGAATCTCCACAAGATATCAAACCAAGTGTCTGTTGAGATCTGGATTCAACTGTTTAACACGTCTAATGACATAATTAATGCATGGCCAAGAAAAAAAAAAAAAGATAATTAGTTGATAATTAATATATTTTAGCTTCAAGAATAGATTATTGTTCAAAGCATTTACAGCAATAAAAATATATTACAATATACAGATCAGGGGTTAGAAGGAAAGCTATCCTCACAGATCTGGTAAAAACAAGTGGTAGGTAGGTAGATACAAAAATCCCTTTTTTAATATAGTATTTTGATCAAGAACCCTGGTTTTGAATTGAAAAAAGAACACACACAAAGGAGTTGTGATCTGATCATCATCATCAGAAACTTAATTAACTAGCTATAGGATCTTGTACCGAACCGATCATGTACCCGCCGTTGAAGTTGCTGCACCGAAAAATCGCCTTGGCGTTCATCTCTCGCTCGAACCTCCAAATGTAGTTCAGCCCCACGAGCAGCTCGGTTATGGCGGCTTCCGTCTTTTCTTGATTAGCGAAATAGAGCGTTTGCAGCAAGACGACGTTGGTTTTAGGCACTAAATTCTGGTGCTCGAAGCTCCGTTCGCTCTGCCATTTGATCATGTTGTGGGCTAACGGCGAAAGCCACCCCAAAATCTTCTGCAGTGCTTCCCTCCACTCATTAGCGAGAATCGGATCGGTGGCGGAAAATCCCACACCTTTCAGACGAGCCCTTAGTGCGAAACGAATACTATTAGGCAGCATTGAGTAAAGATCGTCTCTTGCGTCGACACCGACGAGTTGCGGCGATCTGATCATTTTTTCCATGACTATAATGAGATTCGAGTAGTGGAGAGCAAGCGCCGCCGCGCCTAAGGTGGTGGGCGGCGGTTTTAGAATCTTGGAGTTCGATTCGAAAAACCCGACAAGATTCGGGGGCGTTTTCATCGTTAACGGACCGGATACGAACGTGTTGGGATTTTCGGATGGATATACTAAAGCCGAGGCCGAAAGACTACGAGGCAAGGATACTATTGGATTGAATCCGTGGCCGACTCCGAAAACAAGCTTGATCCTCGCAAGAATGGCGAAAACGGATCGGGCGAGTAAGGATGTGACAGTGTCGAAGCTTCGGCACCATAAAGACTTGTCCTTTAAGTACTTTACTTCTTGTCTGAGCCATAGAATCTTCTGCTGCAGCTCCATAATTTTCTTCTCTTTGATTGAGGTGTCGTTGTCTTTAGTACTACTGCTACTGCTCTGCAATGATTTCTTCAGACCGTTTTCGAGCACCAGAAGCTCGTCCATTTCTCTGTGCAGAGTGGCGGTGATTGTAATAAACTGATCCAGCTTCTTGATTTTGGACTCCATTTCTTTGGAATTCAGAAGCCAGTTGTTCGGATCACGGCCCGAGTTTGCGAACTCCTCGAACGAAAGATCGAAGCTTCTGAGGGACGAGTCCTCGCATTTTTTGCTGATGCGGGAGATGGATTTGGCGACCAGCCTCAGATTCTCGACCAACTCCGCGCAGGCCAGGCCGATCAGGAAGGCGTCGTCGTTTGAGACAATTTTACGAACACCTTCCAGGCATATCGATTCGCCCCGGAGGCGAGCCACGCTCTTGTCCGACAGAGACTCCCACAAGTGGAGGAGCTTCGACATGAGGCCAGCGATCTCGAACGCCACGACGCCGACGCTGGACTTCTTGATCGCGAGCGGCTTCTTCGGCGGCGCGGCGGCGGCGCGTGACGAATCGAAGCTGTGGGTGATCGTCTTCTTCACCTTGAGCAACCATGTTTCGAGAACCATGGTTTGCTTACTACTTATTGTGTGACTAATGTATGTGATTTTAGGAAGCAAAAACAAAATAGGGAAATTGAATTTATAGAAGCGACGAAGAGCAGGAATTAAGAAATGGAGAGAAATAATTGAGAGGAGTGGAGGTGCGCAGAAAGATAAGATAATGGAGAGAAGAATTAAGTTTTTAGTGTAAAGCTATCATGGGATGTTTGAAAAGGAAACCACCCATTAACAAATTAATAGTGTACTACTCTCTCTCTGCCTAATAAGATCAAGAAATAGAGAGAGAAAGAAAGAAAGATGAGAGAGAGAGAGAGATTGTATATAATGTGAAATTTGACAATTTGCCCACATGCAACACTGTATTTTCAAGAATTCTGGAATTCCACTTGCTATAATATATGCAGATCAAGACATTCACCATAAAACAATTAATTTTGTTCTTAAATTTTATTTATTTATTTCAAGTTGGAAGTTTCTATATTCTTAGTACTAATTTCTAGTACAAGCACATTATTTCACTTGGGATATAACTTTTTCGTGTATTTTATGTTACATTCACATTATTTCACTTGGGATATAACTTTTTCGTGTATTTTATGTTACATTCGATGAATTTAGTCTGATAATTAACATTCGGTGCATATGTTACGCACACATATGTGTGTGTATCTGATATGTTTCATTCGGTGTAGTAGATATTTGAAGACAATTTTTTATGTTAGAATAATTATTAATATTGAGAATTAATAAGAATTAAGAACTAGATCATGATAATTGATAATTGCAGAGGGATATAAGAAAAGAAGAAAAAAAAATCATCATGAAAATGTGCATGTTGACTGAGGTTTGACCAAATGATGGATTAGCAAAGATCAAGCTTAAACTAGAAAATTCTTGGTGTTACTTTTTTATTAGCAAAAATCTCCTACAATTTAAGTATTTAATTAAAAATATAGAAATATTTTAAAGAATTTGGACTTCATAGTATATGCGTATAGAATTTTTTGAAGGAACAGTAAACACTAAACAATATTGTTGCTCTGTTTTGTCGGTAAATAAATGAGCATCTATTCTGCATTTTTCAGATCTTGATATATGTGAAAGACTGAATAATAATAATAATAATAATAATAATAATAATAATAATAATAATAATAATAATAATAATAATAATAATAATAATAATAATAATAATAATAATAATAATAATAATAATAATAATAATAATAATAATAAAATACCAATAATTCCAACTGCCAGCAAAAATAATTCATACGAAAAAAGGTACAGGTTCAAATGATGAAAGTACCAAAATATTGTTGGGGTTAGGTTAAGGATTAAAAATGTACTATTATTGTTGGATCGGTTTAATAATATAGAGTGAAAACACGCAGCGGAATAACTCAAAAATAGAGAGGAGGAGTAGTGGAGAGGAGATAAAATTCTATTACTCACTCAATCAACACAAATATATAAACTCACTCAAAAACTCTCTTTTGATTCTCTCTAAAATACTTCTTCTTGTTTTTTGACTTGCTACAAATGAAAAACCACATAGACTATGTATAGGATTTTCCTAGTATGTATCTAAACAAATACATGAACACATAATTAATAATATTCTTCCTCCATAGCATTATACATGAATCTCTCCAAAAGACACATTCATGTATTCTTCCACATTCATGAATTCTAGAACCTTCAATACTTTGAACTTGATTAATGAATCTAGCTTATTCATTTCCAACACGCCCCCCTAAGCTTGATTCACGCATTCCAAGTTGTCTCCTCAACTTCTCGAACGATTCTCTCTTGAGTGGTTTGGTGAAGATATCGGCAATTTGATCTTCGGACTTCACGAACTTCACTTGAACTTCTTTCTTTGCAATGCACTCTCGGATGAAATGATATCGAGTATCAATGTGTTTGCTTCGATCATGAAACACTGGATTTTTCGCTAGTGCAATCGCTGATTTGTTATCGACAAAAACTTGTGTCGAATCTTCTTGAGCAAAATTGAGCTCCTTTAATACGCTCCTTAGCCATATTGCATGACATACACTCGATGTCGCTGCCACATATTCAGCTTCACAAGTTGATAGAGTAACTATCGGTTGCTTCTTCGATACCCAAGTGAATGCTGAATCTCCAAAGTAGAATACAAAACCACTTGTACTCTTTCGATTATCGGGATTTCCGGCCCAATCGCTGTCGCTATATCCGGCTAGCTTCAAATCTCCATTTGTTGGGTAGAACATACCCAAATTAGTAGTTCCTTTGATGTAGCGGAGTATCCTCTTTGCTACTTTGAAATGGTACTCCTTTGGATCTTCCATGTATCGGCTAACAAGACCTACTGCAAATAGAATATCGGGTCTTGTGCATGTAAGATACCTCAAACTTCCAACCAAGCTTTTGAATAAGGTTGGATCAACGGGCTCTCCTTCAATGTGCTTCGACAGTTTCTCTCCAATGTCAATTGGAGTGCTGATTTCCTTGCATTTCTCCATTTTGAATTTCTTTAGCACATCTTTTGCATAGCCTTCTTGTGAGATGAAAATGCCATCATCTTGTTGCTTCACTTCAATGCCAAGATAATAAGACATCAACCCAATGTCTGTCATCTCGAACTCCTTGGCCATCTCCTTTTTGAACTCATCAAACAATTTCACATTGTTCCCTGTAAATATTAAATCATCAACATACAAGCACACAATTAGCATATCACCTTTATCGACCTTCATATATAGCGCATGCTCATGTGGACATTTTTTGAATCCCTTCTCCAAAAAATATTGATCAATGCGGCTGTTCCACGCCCTTGGTGCTTGCTTTAACCCATAAAGTGATTTTTTCAATTTTAGCACTTTATTTTCTTGACCACGAACCAAGTAACCTTCGGGTTGGTCAACGTACACCTCTTCTTCAAGCACTCCATTTAGAAATGCTGATTTCACATCCATTTGATAGATGTTCCACTTCTTTTGAGCTGCTAATGAGATTAACAATCTAATGGTCTCCAATCGAGCAACGGGAGCAAAGACTTCGTCATAGTCAATTCCCGCCTTTTGCTTGTACCCTTTGACAACAAGCCTCGCCTTGTATCTTTCCACCTCGCCTTTGGAATTCTTTTTCACCTTGTAAACCCATTTGACTCCGATAGGTTTATGCTCCGATGGTAAAGAAGTGAGCTCCCAAGTATCATTTTTCTTGATAGCTTCAATCTCTTCATTCATGGCCTTTCTCCACTTCTTGCTTTTCGATGTCTCCTCAAAGTTGATAGGCTCCGTATCAACAAACAAACAGAATAAGTTTGGATTCTGATTGAGTTGATCATAAATCTCATGTAGAGACCTTGTCTTTCGAGGTCCTTCACTACTCGAACTTTCACCCTCGGAAGAAGATGCAGGTGATGATGGTGGAGTTACTTCATCTACGGGCTCCTCTTCAACTTCCTTAGTTGCTGCCTCAAACGGGTAGAATGTGTAATGCTCCATCGATCATAGTTCTCTTTTGCAAGCTTTTGAAATGGGAAAGCTCCATTTGTGGTTGCCATCGATCTTTTCTATTAAGACGTGGCTCTGATGCCACTTTGTTGGATCGGTTTAATAATATAGAGTGAAAACACGCAGCGGAATAACTCAAAAATAGAGAGGAGGAGTAGTGGAGAGGAGATAAAATTCTATTACTCACTCAATCAACACAAATATATAAACTCACTCAAAAACTCTCTTTTGATTCTCTCTAAAATACTTCTTCTTGTTTTTTGACTTGCTACAAATGAAAAACCACATAGACTATTTATAGGATTTTCCTAGTATGTATCTAAACAAATACATGAACACATAATTAATAATATTCTTCCTCCATAGCATTATACATGAATCTCTCCAAAAGACACATTCATGTATTCTTCCACATTCATGAATTCTAGAACCTTCAATACTTTGAACTTGATTAATGAATCTAGCTTATTCATTTCCAACAATTATAAAGTATAAAGATATTATCAAAAAAAAAAAAAAAGTATAAAGATGGGAATGAATTAAATACTAATCCCAATCTCGTAAATTTAATAAATTTGCATTTTCACCCTTCAATTTTGTATTAATTACACATTTGGTCCCCCATGTTCACAAAAGAAACATATTTGGTCACTTATGTTTCAATAATCTAGAATTTTTGGTCATTTTCGTCAGTTAAGGTAGAGATGTGAACACGCTTGATTCTGTTAGTACTAACGAAAAATTGATGAAAAATGACTAAAAGTTTTGAATTTTTAAACATGGGGACAAAATGTTTTTTTTGTTAACATTGAGGGACCAAATGAAAATATGTGCAAACTTGAGGGATAAAAACTGTACGTTGACCCGTAAATACACATCAAAACATTTTTATTATAGCAAAGACTCTAACCACTTGAACCAAGCATTAGTAATTACATTGAATAACGATCATTGTAGATTTACATTTACACATAATCCAATATATAAAAATTTGATTAAAACGAATTAGGGATGAACAATGCAATACATTGCACAAGAGAAATGATTATTTAATGATTATTAGTAGTTTAAGAATTGTGAAGAAGATAATAAGAAAGAGTGATTTAAGATTTGATTAAGATATTATAATGCTAAATAAATAGGCGCAAGCAGCGGGATTTGTATGAGAAGATGCAATAGTTTTGGAAAAAGAAGCCTGCCTTTTAGGGTTTATTATTAATTAATTAATAATTAAACAAAGGGATTAATAAATTAAACCTTTGTGTTTTAACGAGATATTTATTTGTCGTTTTCTGGATGGTCAAATCTTCAAATTTTGTGAACCAATAAAATTTGGTCGAGCTGCTTTTTTGGATTTACAAATTGTCCACGATTTTCATTTTTCACAAATCACACGCATTTATCATGTTAATTAATTGTTTAGGTATTATTGCTTTGTTTTCTAAAAATAGAATGTTTGGTAGATGATTAGAGTTTCATTATTTTACTTAATCTTTTTTTTTCTTTTCTTTTTTTGTTGATTGACGCTCGTTTTGACTTTTGACTATTTCATTTGCCAAAAATTAAAATGATTATATAATATCATTCTTTTTTTTGAAATGATTATATCATATCATTCTAATACCTCTTTCATTTTCCGCAGTGATATTATTATATTTAATAAAATGGTCAATAAGGTTTTAATTTGGTGTTATAATAATATAATATACATGTCTAACAAAAGTAAAGCAATTTGCTAAACATTATTTACCACTAATATCATTTCAAATTAGGATGGCCGGATTTTGATTTACTAAAAGTCTTCTATCCTTTTCAAACAAAATTATCCCGTTTCTTTCGCCTCCATTCCATCCACTCTTTTTCTCTTCTATTTCAGATTCAACTATATTTTCGATACTCCACCATCATCTTCCTCACCGTCAAACTTGTCTGTTCAGCGCATATGAAAACCCAATTAAAGGACTACAAAGACTTTAAACATTACTAAAATCCAATTAGATGATATTTAACAAGTATTTTATAGGAACCTTGTATATATATGTATCTGTACATGTGATTTGTTATAGCATATCATACTTGTTTTGACCATTAGAAAAAAAGAAATCAAAACAAGGCATAAAAAGATAAGAAAGAAAAACATCCGATTGATGATGACCTTAGTTTGGTATGACGTGACACCATATATATATATATATATATATATATATATATATTTACCAATATTGAACAAATTAATAGTGTCCCCAATCAAGAACTTCTATTACACAATAGTCTAGACCACAAAATAATATTATTACTTTACATAATATGTTATAATGCATGCATCATCCGTGTATCTATCCATCTATTATGTATTTTGTTTGACAAAATAATAATAATAGTGGTAATGGAAGACAAAAAGAAACAATAAGCGCGTAACAACATAAAAATTTAAATCATAAAACTCGAGCCTTCTTTTCAAGTCAAATTCGCAATCAATTTGTCTTTGGGCTTCTCTCTCTCTCTCTCTCTCTCTCTCTCTCTCTCTCTCTCTCTCTCTCTCTCTCTCTCTCTCTCTCTCTCTCTCTCTCTCTCTCTCTTATCCTACACTCATTTTGCTTGCTTTTATTTCTCTTCGTGGGAATCTTTGGGATCCCACTTCTAAAGACTAAAGAGTACCACTACAAGATGGTTTATCTTCATTTTAAATAAATAAAATCGACCTTATGGCTAATATAATTTCGATTGACTTTTTTTTTTGTCAGAATTAAATCGACCGAGAGTTGGTACCTAGTCACTACTACTAGAATAGAGATCCAGAATCATGTGTGATAAGCTTCATTTAACGAACTGTTGGCAAGATGATTCGAACCTGAGTCAATTGACACAGACTCACTTGCTCCAACCGCTAAATAATCATTTAAGCGACCAGCAAAGCCATTTAAATAGTAAAAAGTAGAGCACTGAGGTGCAAATAACAACATTAAACATTAAAAAAAAAAAATTAAGATCCAATAAATAATATTAATATAATTAGAATGGCGTGGTGGTTGTTCATGGGCCTCTATTATGTAACTAATGAGAAAGGGAGTTAGTGTTTGTGCCTTGCTTTTGGTAGACATTCCACAAAAGTAATGGTCCCAATTTAAGACAAATACTTACAAACATGTATGAACATAAAACATGACGCATTAACCCCAACCCCAGTGACCCAATTCGATTAACCCTGACTGAGCACGTGCATCATCATTGTTATATATATATCACCCTAATTATTTGAACACCCGCACGTGCGTGCACCACCACACCACAATATTAATTCATTAATTACTCAATAGTAAATTAATCTCTTTAAAAGAATATTATCAAAAACTTCTTCAAGTGTGTAAAAAACATACCAATGTAAATAAACATAAGAAGCATCGTGCTCTTGAAGATGCCACCGAAAAGATTGCGAGATTTTCAGACCCGACCGAAGCAGTTTATCTGAAGCTGAAAATTACATCCTTATCCATCTGCGTGTGTGTAAAATCGAACGAGGATAAGCAAAGGGAAAGTAATAAGTGTTTATTGAGTTGAAAATTTATAAAATATAGCTTACGTTTTTGGCTAATTCTTCGGCCTTTTCGTCATCAAAGCCAAAAGAAGCCATTATCTTATGCCCTGCAGATTCCTTCTGTGACCAAATTCCAAGAACCAAATGCGCGCTTGTTATTTCGCCGCTGTCACCTGCGTTTTTTAACTGATTAAATAAAAAAAATAAACTGCTGGCAAAACAGCACAATTTGCATGGAAGAAAACCTATATTCGTAAGTAAAATTTTTGGGATTTGATTATAATTTTATGAATCAATCAGATTGAGGCTAGGATCGCCATAGTACAAGCATATAATCAACAAGATAAGTACTTCTGGCATTAAAGATGTAATGATTCACAAACCAAGCCACTGGCAAATATACAGACATATGTTCCTCAATGAAACAAACAACAGAAAGAATGATATGATGACACCTTTTTAACAGCGCTTCAGTAAATATATAATAGAGCAATTTAAGGTTCATTACCAGTAAAAGTAGTACAAACTCGAAAAAAGAAAATTTAATTTCAAATTTACTGTATCTTAAAGCCGAATCATAAAGCAAAGCTAATGCAATTAACTACTTTTCCCACTACTTTCTATCTTCTATGACTTCCTGATCAACTCTCCTTTACTAAAAGAGTTACCCCACCCAACAAGCTTATCACATCATTCTTCGTCTCAGAACTTTTGAAGTTACTTAGGCTGAAAATCAGCCAACGATGATACAACAATGAATATATTTACTCATTTAGCCTTGTTCTTCTAGATGAAAGGGAGAGATATAACATTGAAATCACTTCCTGAAAACAGTCGTACAACACCTTATTCGATGATTCTCTAATTTACTTCCTGAAGTTAATGAAAAAATGGCCCCTTTCCAGTTTCTTCTTTATTTGTTATAATAGGACGGGGGAAAGAAATATGGTTTCTATTTTGTTTTCATCAATTTAGGTCATTAAGTTCTAACGAACCATCGGCCCATCGTTTATTGGACTTGGCTGAACAGCATTTTGACTTTGGTCAAACTAAGTTATACTAGTGGCAAACTTATGAGTGTAGTTCTAATTGCATCACAATCCACAATCTAAACTGAACTTGAACAACGATTCCTTTTTGTAGTTTATGATTTTTCACTAAAAACTCCAATAGAACACTCAATTTACAAGAAACTAAAACTAAAAACACAATTTAAAATGAGATTACAGAAGTTAGAAAATAGATCTTCTGAATGTTATTTCTCTTATATAAGTGAGGGTTATATAATATCCAGTATTCCTACAACTCAAGTGTAAGCATCACCAGTGATAACAATGGAATTCACTAATAAATCTACAATAAGAGTGATGAAAAAACGATATCACACAAGTTCGATAATCTTTATCGAAAGCTAAAACCTAAAATAATAAAAAGCAAATCAAACAGTATATATACATAAAATTATCGGAAGCACCTGATTTCAGCTTCTCTTCAACTGCCCAGTCGAGAGCCCTCTGAGCTGGTTCAGTCAAGGGAGGATGCTCTGGACTGAAAAAGTACATGTCGGATTTCCCTAACAAACTCACAATCTCATCTCGGACCTTAAAAAGCGTAATACCGTTTTCCCTCAAAAACTTTGCTGCAAAACTGGTTCCTGCACAATCAGCAAAATCGAGATTCGTAATGTATACCAAGTCCATGAAATTGCGTTCTTAATTAGGTTCTCAAGCATTATTTCTTTAACAAGAACTCGAAACAAGGTTTGATTATACAACTATAATTATTTCATCGTTATATAATTGCAAACCTTCGACCAAAACACCCATAAGCAGAGCTTCTGTCCCGGTACTCGGATACTTGAGCTTCCTTGCTTCCAACTCACCCATGGCAAACGACTTTATCGAACGTGCTGACCATCTATAAACACCATTATTCGAAAAATCTCAATAAAAAAACCACAACAGATTCACATATTCAGCTTATAGATATTAAACCCCCAAACCAAAAAGGGGGAAAATAAAACTTACTTAGGCATCTTATCAGAAGCAATCCCCTCTTTATTTCTGCAAAATCGAAATTAAGCAAAACAACAAATCAAACACGCTGCAATTAAAAAATAAAATTTAATTCCAGATAGGAAAGTGAATCGTACGTGGTAGGTAGACTGAAGGAGATGGTGGCGACAGCGGAACTACGTCGTTTTGAAGCCATCTGATTGAAACTCAAGGGTTGAACGGATAACTTCGTGCCCGTAAAAGAAGTCGAAGGATTGAAACTCAAAACCAGCTCAAATGGTTTCCTGCAAGACTGATTCGTGGCTGAAGAAGACGGTGTAATTGGAAACACGGACAGCCCTTGAGCGGCGGCCATTGGAGAAGCGAATTTTTCTCGACAACTGCAACTGAATTTTAATTAGCTGGGCAAGTTAAATTGCTCACCAAATGCTAGAAATGGATGCGTGAGGAAGATTGTGGGGTTTTGGGCATGGTAGTTTGTGAACCTTCCTAGTTAATTAAACTGGAAATATGGATAGAAATCTATGGTGAAACAAATTTGCAGTCTCTCGTGTAGGGAGACGGGGGTTTTGTACTAAAGTCGTCAATCCAACAAAACGCGACAATGGAAATTAGGTTAGTGGGCTCGTGGAGTTATTATTGGGTTTATGATGGTTTGGGCCGGTTCGAGCCACAACGGGCCGGGTCGATTTCATTGGCCTGGAAATAAGTGTTGGAGCCCATCTTGTACTGGTTCATTTTTCTTTTTATAAATCACAATCACGAGAATAGTAAATAATTAAATAATTAATAGATGCAATTGACTTTTTTTTTTAAATAATGAAGGATCCCGCAGCAATCATATAGGTGGTCTGAGTAAATCTACACTCTCGTGTAGTAGCTTCCAAAATAATACGAGAGACATAAACTACATTAGGTTAATTATGTGTGATGAACTCGATCTCACGACCGTTGACTTAAGAATTCAAATTTGGGTCAATTAAACCACATTGGACTATTTATGTGTGAGAACCTCGATCTAACGACTTTGAGTAGGGAATTCGAATTTGGATCAATTAAACCACATTATATTAACTATGTGTAACGAACTCGATCTAATAACCGTTAACTAAGATCTTCGAACTTGAGTCCATTGGCACGTTAGATCATTTCTTGCGTAACGATGCAGTTGACTTTGAGCATGCGTATATATTTATAAGTGACGTTGAAGAAAATAATATAAATAATCTCAAATTTTAATAATATTTCTTTTGATAGCAAATTACTAGATTAAAATAGCTTAGCATAAGGGCAAAAATGGCAAATCATTAAATCATCCCAAATTTTTCCCGAATCGATAGTGATTAGGTTCTCGATTCATAGCTTGGATCAAGTAACAGAATCTCCGTTTGTTAATTGCCGATACAATCATCTTCTCCAGATCCAAATCATTGTTTTTTTTTATTTTTTTTTCGTATTTCCCCAAATGATTCCTTTACTCTTCACATCTTCAAGTTTCCTCAGCCACTGAATTCACATTGCTTTTTGCTCAACTACTGTATTTAATCATCAATTTCTGCTAATTGAGCGCGGAGTTTGGCATTTGATTTTACGTGATGCGGTTTTTTAGGTAAGAATTCTGAATATATATTGCTTGAATCCTGTTTTTGAGATTGGGGGAAGATTTTGAGATAATATTTCGAATGTGGCGGTGTGAACATTCGTTTTGAACTGAGTAGTAATTCGGAATCTTCATCAAATTTTTAATTTTTTTTAATCTGGCGGTGTGTTTTTGCCTTTTTTTTTTTTTTTATTGATGTCAATTGTCATTTGATTTGATTTTTGTAGCTTGCTCGTTGATTGTCATTTGTCTTGATTTTTGTTCAGAAGTTTTTGAAGGATCACAAATCATTATTGACGATTGATGAATGCATATTTGTAAGAGCAAGTTCCCAATTTCGAGGGCGGCTTCTGTGTGTTCACGAGCGCTCGTTTGTTGGAATTTACCCCGCTGCCGCCTCTCTGTTTGCGGAATGTTGTAGAATTGATAGTTATTTAAGTAATTTGATTATTGAGTCTTACATTTGGATATCGTAAAGGGAGTTGAATTTGAAGAAGAAGAAGAGCCATGAGTTCTGCTTCAACGAAAGAATTATCCAAAAATGCTTATCCGAAGACACTTTTGTCGATTGTTGCTTCATTTGGAGGGCTAGCCATGTTTCTTCTACTCGCCTCAACTGTCTTGGTCTCGCAACCTATTGGTTCTACTGTTCGCGGATATTTTTATGGTGTCGACAGCTCAAATAAGATCGATTCAGATTCCTCCCTCAGACATTCAGTTCCTGAACCTAGTGACATTGTAGGAGAATCCAATTCAACTTTTTCGCCTGGTAATGAAAATGAAGTTATTTCTCAGAAAGGTGATACTAAATCTGCTGAATCTGACAGAAGTGATGGCGAGGGAACTTTGTTCGAAAAACACCGGCCTCCTCAATCTCAGGATAAGAATGATGTGTCAGATTTAGGACAATTAGAATCTGAGAATTTGAATGATAAGTTTCTACATTCTAAGGAAACACGAGAAGAGGATGGCAATAAAAGTTCGTCTTCCGATAATGCACAAACAGATTTAAAAGACGTTGTGGAGTCTTCTGCGGCTACCACCAGCTCGAGTCAAGCCAATGTTGCTGATTCAGGTAATGTATCTTCATCTCGTGAAATCTTCCTTCTAATCACAATGCTGTCTATTCCGATGTTTTTCCCTTTTATTCTAGTGTTTTTAAATGTTTTTCAGTCTTTGTGATGCTTTGTAATCTATGATTCAGCTGCTAATGAATTTTGCTTGGGTCAAATTGAGTGCCTTATTGCTTTTCTGTTAATGTTTGTATTTTGTATATAACCAAAATCAGATTGTTATTTTCTTAAACGATATGCAGTTCGTTGATATAGCCAATGATTAATTCGATATATCTTACTAGAGGTGAAATAGTTGTGGAGTAATTCTGAATGCTTATTCTCTATTTTTCTGCTCACACATTGGATAATGCGCAATTGCATGATGGCAATTCGCAGCTGTGGTTTTATTCATATTGGTATATAAAACTAAGTAATTCCATATCCTGAGTCGATAAAGAAAAAAAAAAGTGTTCATTGTGTATATGACATCATATCTCTTGTTTCATATTCTCGAGTAGTAATTTGTCCTCGTTGTTTTTCAGATTGTGATCTTTACCAAGGCAAATGGATTTTTGATCCAGCTGGACCATTGTATACGAATAATTCATGTCCAGTGCTCACTCAGATGCAGAACTGTCAAGGGAATGGAAGACCAGACAAAGATTACGAGAATTGGAGATGGAAACCGTCAGAGTGTGACCTACCTAGGTTTGATCCGAAGAAGTTCTTGGAGTTAATGAGAGGAAAAACATTAGCTTTCATTGGTGATTCAGTGGCAAGAAATCAGATGGAATCAATGCTCTGTATCCTGTGGCAGGTTAGGACAGATTCCCTTCTACTATCTAAATTCATCGCATATTCATTTAACATTTTTTTTTCTTTCCTTAATTATGTCTATTTCTATAATGACGAAACCTTTTTGCGGCTCCACGAGGATCATTCTTTGGGATTTGTTTTCTCTATTTCCATAACCGTCCTCTCTCTCTCTCTCTCTCACTCACCCACTGATGCATTCAGCCTTTCCATTATCGGAGTACATGACTAGTGCAGTCAAGAAAATTCTTAAACTCTTATCAATCATTATCCTTTATTGTATTTCTTTAATAGTACGAATCGCATCAAATTGCACAGTAAAGAGTTCATTAAATGATGTTCTTAATATTGTGGAAAGAGTAAGATTGACATATTCATGAGTCTGCGCATACGGGAAATACAACATAAGGGAACAAAAATACCTACCCCAAGATTGATCTCTGAAAAATATGAACATACGAATCAATAATAGAACATACGTTTTAATATCCTTCCATTTTCAAATAAAACGAGATTAACTTGTCATTCTTATACTCTCCCAGGTTGAGGTTCCCAAAAACCGAGGCAACAAAAAAATGCAACGCTACTATTTCCGATCCACCTCTACAATGATTATTCGAATATGGTCCTCCTGGCTTATCCATCAAACAACCGAACCATTCGATTTTGCTCCAGCTGGCGTAACTAAGCTCCATCTCGATGCACCCGACGAGGGGTTCATGCAATACATCACAGATTTTGATGTTATTGTCCTGTCTTCTGGCCACTGGTTCGCAAAGCAATCAGTGTACATATTGAACAACGAGATTGTAGGTGGGCAGCTTTGGTGGCCAGACAAATCCAAAAAACAGAAGATCAACAATATCGAAGCTTTTGGAGTATCTGTCGAAACAATTCTCACTTCAATGGGCACACATCCAAACTACACCGGTCTCACAATTCTCCGAAGCTTTTCGCCGGATCACTACGAAGGCGGAGCATGGAACACTGGTGGATCGTGCACCGGAAAAGTCAGCCCCGCTTCGGAATTAGTCGAAAATGGATTTACCAATATCATGCACGAGAAACAGGTGAATGGTTTTAACAGTGCAGTGAAGAAAATGAATAATAAATCAAGAATGAAATTAATGGATATTACGGAAGCCTTTTCATATAGGCATGATGGGCATCCGGGCCCTTATCGAAGCCCGGATCCTAATAAAATTACCAAGAGGGGCCCGGATGGTAAGCCCCCACCACAGGATTGCTTGCACTGGTGCATGCCTGGACCAGTCGATACATGGAATGAGCTGGTATTTGATATTATACGAAGAGAATTCGACGACAGACAGAGAAATTCATCTTGAGATTACGTAACCACACGATTCTGCTCTTCGATACAGAGATACATATATTATTATTTTTTTAATCTTTAGAGTACTTTGAATTAGAAAAGATAATGTAACTTATGGCTAAGGTGAGGGTACCGTTTTGTAGTTATAAGCTTATTATTTTGCTTAATGTTATCATCCTCTGTGTTTATCTGGTTCTGAAGGATGCAAAAATAATGATAAATAATGTAATATTAATATATATATGTGACATTAATATGATAAATACCAAATATATGTACTGTCTGAAAATTGGGAAGAGAAAGGGAGAAATAACAGACTCAATTTCATCATCATTAACAAAACTACAATTAATCAGGTGTTGCTGTCATTAAAAAGACATCCAACCAACTTAACAAAACAATTAGTAAATCTAATTACCGACATAATCTTTCAGACTAATTCTGTTTTCTACGAGGTTGTTTTCTAACATAGACTACCTCAGATTGAATCTGGGTTTTCATTTTCCACTTTTTCAGACGTGGCCCCCTATATATAGAATAATATGCAGTCAAACCATCAAAATAAAATTATTTGGGAATTGACTACTAATAATTATTTATTTATTTTTTAATTAGATTATCACAAATTGACATGAGCATCACTTGGAATTATAGTTAGGTGCGCCTTTCATATAATTCATATTTCACCATGGTGCAATGGTGCCTCCCACGTTAACCCGCGTTTTTGCCCCAAATAATTAAAAAACAATTAAAGTCGCGTTTTCCTTCACACTAAAAGCGTCAACTATAAATATTCCTCCATATCTCACCATCTTCAATCATCCACTTGAAAATTAAAACCAAAAAAGAAAAAGAAAAAAAGAACACTGCAAATTAATTAACGATGGCCACCGTCAACTCCTACGGCAACGTCAACGAAACCGATCTCGAAAGGCTCGCCGCACGCAGCAAAACCCGCCGGAGATTCACCCTCATCGGAATATCCTCCATAGTCCTCGTCGCCGTCGTTGTCGCCACCGTGGTCGGAGTTACGCAGACCAACAAAGGCAGCAACAAATCCAAAGAAGAAACCAATTCGATTTCCTCGTCGATCAAAGCGGTGTGCAACGTCACACTTTATCCGGACTCGTGCTACAACAGCCTCGCTCCGATGGTGAAATCCGGCAACGTCAAAATCCAGGACCTGTACAAACTATCCGTACAGGTAGCCATTAGCGAGCTCACCGAGGTGTCGAAAAAATTCGACGCCGGAAAACTGAACATTACCGATGAAAAGACGGTTTTAGCCCTCCAGAGTTGCCAGGAGCTCTTCATACTCGCGCTTGACCATCTCAACAGCTCGATCACCATAAACGACATGAATTTGCTCGACGCGTTCGGTGATCTGAGAACGTGGCTGAGCTCCGCCGCCACGTACCAGGAGACTTGCATGGATGAGCTGGAGAGCATCTCGAGTGGCCTGACCAGTTTCGCCGGCGACAGTTTGAAGAACTCCACGGAGTACACGAGCAACAGCCTGGCTATCATCACCTCCGCCGGCGAGTCGATCGACGCGATGGGCAAAATCGGAAGGAGGCGCCGCTTGATGGGTTTCGGCGGCGGTGATTTGCCGGAGTGGGTTTCCGCTAATGAGAGGCGGCTGCTTCAGACGCCGAGCGTGAAGGCGGACGCGGTGGTGGCGAAGGACGGAAGCGGGAAGTACAAGACGATAAAGGCGGCGCTGAAGGATGTTCCGGCGAAGAGTAAGAAGAGGTTTGTTATATACGTGAAGAAGGGAGTTTATGCAGAGAATGTGAGAGTGGAGAAGACGATGTGGAATGTCATGTTCGTCGGAGATGGAAAAGACGCCACCGTCGTCACCGGCAGCCTCAACGTTGTCGACGGAACCCCCACTTTTCAAACTGCTACTTTTGGTAACTTCTTTTATTCTTTCATAATTGCATTTAAACCCTTCAACTTTAATTTACTATATGTAATTGCTTTAATAACTATTTTGTTTACCTTTTCATCCACAAAACAAAAAATGAGCCCTAATGTGGATTATATTACAAATGCACAAAAATTTAATATTCTTTTAGATAAATTCATTTGACATGTAAACATTTAAGTTGCTAGTGGGATAAATTATTTAATATTTATATTTCCAACATTAAATTAAATATCGAAATATGTAACTAACGTTGTCCGTATATCTCGTGTCGAATCGAATCAGCCGTGTTTGGTCAAGGATTCATCGCACGCGACATGGGATTCCGCAACACAGCCGGTGCAGCCAAGCACCAAGCCGTCGCTCTAATGGCGTCAGCAGATCTTGCGGTCTTCTACCGATGCAAGATGGATGCATTCCAAGACACTCTCTACGTTCACGCCAACCGTCAGTTCTACCGCGAGTGCGACATCCACGGCACGGTGGACTTCATATTCGGCAACTCCGCAGTCGTACTCCAGAACTGCAACATCCTGCCCAAGAAGCCAATGGTGGGCCAACAAATCACAATCACGGCCCAGGGCAAGAGCGACCCGAACCAAAACACCGGTATCTCGATCCAAAACTGCAACATTCGGCCAGGTGGCAACCTCGCGGGGGTCAACTCTTTCTTGGGCCGGCCGTGGAAGGATTACTCCACCACAATTGTATTCAATTCAGTGTTGGACCGTTTCATTGACCCAAAGGGCTGGCTCCCGTGGATTGGAACCTCAGCCCCGAAGACGATTTTTTATGCAGAGTATCAAAATACGGGTCTCGGAGCGGGGACCAAGAACCGGGTTAAGTGGGTGGGCTTGAAGCTCAATCTTGTTGCTAGCGAGGTTAAGAAGTTTACCGTTGGCCCGTTCACTAATGGGGACAAATGGATTCCAGCAACCGGCGTTCCATTCAAATCGGGCCTCTAAATTGAAAATTTTCGGCTTCGTTGCTTAATATATTACACGTACGACCCATTTTTGTCTTGGGTCGTTATATTTCTTTTCGTTTTTTCTCCTATCATTCATTATTTTGTTCTCGAAGAGTTCATTTTTTTCTAAATGTTCTATTGATTCTGAGTTTCGAAAGAATTCGGAGCTTGTATAAAAAAGTTATGATCAAACAATATTACGTAATTTATTCTATAGTAATTTCTTTTATACCACGGTTTAAATTTGAATTAATCTCACAAATTAAGAAACATGAAGGTTGAGTAACTTGAATCAACCCAATTGGAGTTATGATAAAAAAAAAAATTATTTGCAGTAATACTATTGTCTACTTACACTAGAGTATAGTTTACACCCATGATCTAAATTAAATATCAAAAACTACAAAATACAATAGTAGTATATTTTTTTTAGAACTTATCTATATTATTTTAGGCAACACGATTAATTCAATACTATTTTGGACAATGATTCAATCGAAAATCAGAAATTGTAATACGTACACAAAAATGTATGTAATTTAACCGGTTTTAAAAAGCAATATTTTGAGTAACTGCAAACATATTTTGTACAACAAAGTTTTTGTCTTAATGAAAAACCTATAAGTATTAACATGGTCTTACAACACACGCACTAAAAAATGATCGAACCCCAACATCTCAAATGCCACTGTGGAAGAAACTCAAATACCACGTAGAGTATATATCGTATGAACTGAGTTATAATGAGTTACTCTTGCTTTCTTAGACAATAAAATTACGGTTAACACTAAATTTCAATGTTGAATATATATTTACAATATTGATCCAAATCAAATCGCATAAATTACAAAATGTATTTTTTTTTTATATATATAGTAATTAATTCTAATATATATACTAAAAAAAATGTGATCAAGACAATTAAATTAGTTTCTAGAGCTAACTAATATAATCCCTTGACTAGTAGCCAAGTGTATTTTCTAATTAAATTATCTCATTGCTAGCTAGCTTCTCTTATAATTCAAATTATACGTGTGTATATATATATATATATATATATATATATATATATATATATATATATATATATATATATATATATATATATATATATATGGGCGGACCCAGGGGTTTTTTCTTGGGGGAGCGAAAATATAGGGGTAATTTAAGAGAGAAATTTTTTTTTGTTTTGGGGGACTAAAGTGTACAAAATTAAAAGTTTGGGGGGGCGAAAGTGTATTAACTAATACTTATATATATCATGAGCATCACTTCGACTTATTATTAGGTGTACACCTTTCATAACTCAAACATGGTGCCTCCCACGTATTAACCCGCGTTTGCCTAAATAACAAAATAAAAAAAATAAAAAAGAAGAAGTCGCATTTCATGCAACGCAAAAACGCTACTATAAATACCCCCACCATCTTACCTTCTTCAATCAACCAGTTAATTATTTGCTTCATTTTCTCAACTCAAAAAAGAGTTGAAGAAAAAGAAAGAACCCTACTGCAAAGTGCAAATTAATTAATGATGGCCACCGTCAACTCCTACGGCAACGTCAACGACACCGACCACGAAAGGCTCGCCGCCCGGAGCAAAACCCGCCGGAGATTCGCCCTCATCGGAATATCCTCCATTGTCCTCATCGCCGTCGTGGTCGCCACCGTGGTCGGAGTTACGCAGACCAACAAAGGCGGCAGCAAATCCAAAGACGAAACCAAATCGATTTCGTCGTCGATCAAAGCGGTGTGCAACGTCACGCTTTACCCGGACTCGTGCTACAACAGCCTCGCTCCGATGGTGACTTCCGGCGACGTCAAGATCCAGGATCTGTACAAGCTCTCCGTGCAGGTAGCCATTACCGAGCTGACGAAAATCTCGAACAGCTTCGACGCCGGAAAGCTGAACATCACCGACGAGAAGACGGTGGCGGCGATACAGAGTTGCCAGGAGCTTTTCTCGCTGGCGCTTGACCACCTCAACAGCTCGTTGACCATAAACAACATGAATCTGCACGATGCTTTTGCCGACCTGAGAACGTGGCTGAGCTCCGCCGGGACTTACCAGGAGACGTGCATCGATGAGCTGGAGAGTGTATCGAGCGGGCTGAGCACCGTCGCCGGTGACAGTTTCAAGAACTCCACTGAGTACATAAGCAACAGCTTGGCCATGATCACCTCCGCCGACGAGTCGATTGACGCGATGGGCAAAATCGGAAGGAGGCGCCGCTTGATGGGTTTCGGCGGCGGCGATTTGCCGGAGTGGGTTTCCGCTAATGAGAGGCGGCTGCTTCAGACGCCGAGCGTGAAGGCGGATGCGGTGGTGGCGAAGGACGGAAGCGGGAAGTACAAGACGATAAAGGCGGCGCTGAAGGATGTTCCGGCGAAGAGTAAGAAGAGGTTTGTTATATATGTGAAGAAGGGTGTTTATGCTGAGAATGTTAGAGTGGAGAAGACGATGTGGAATGTCATGTTCGTCGGAGATGGTAAAGATGCCACCATTGTCACCGGCAGCCTCAACGTTGTTGACGGAACCCCCACTTTTCAAACCGCTACATTTGGTAAGTAATTTCTTCTTTTACCCATTAGAGGTTTTGGTTTGCAGATTTGCCCAAATTCACAAGTTTCGTACTTTTAAGCCCTTCTAATTTACTATATTGAAATTGATTTAACAACTGTTGTCTAATTAACTTCTCATATTACAAAACAAAATGTGAATTAGAAAGGCATGTGATCAAATGTACAAAATATAATTTTTTTTTAAGAAAAAATTCAATTGACATTGATACATGTATATATCTCGTGTCGAATCGAATCAGCTGTGTTTGGTCAAGGATTCATCGCGCGCGACATGGGATTCCGCAACACGGCCGGTGCAGCCAAGCACCAAGCCGTCGCTCTATTGACGTCCGCAGACCTCGCGGTCTTCTACCGATGCAAGATGTCCGCATTCCAAGACACTCTCTACGTGCACGCCAACCGTCAATTCTACCGCGAGTGCGACATCTACGGAACAGTTGACTTCATATTCGGCAACTCCGCAGTTGTCCTCCAGAACTGCAACATCCTGCCCATAAAGCCAATGGCGGGCCAAAAAATCACGATCACGGCCCAGGGCAAGAAGGACCCGAACCAAAACACCGGGATCGCGATCCAGAACTGCAACATTCGGCCAGGTGGCAACCTCGCTGGGGTCAGCTCTTTCTTGGGCCGACCTTGGAAGGATTACTCCACCACAATTGTATTCAATAGCGTGTTGGACCGTTTCATCGACCCCAAAGGGTGGCTTCCGTGGATCGGTGACTCAGCCCCGAAGACGATTTTTTATGCAGAGTATCAAAATACGGGCCTCGGTGCGGCGACCAAGAATCGGGTTAAGTGGGTTGGCTTGAAGCTCAATCTTATTGCTAGCCAGGTTCAGAAGTTCACCGTTGCACCGTTCACTAATGGAGATAAATGGATTCCGGCAACTGGAGTTCCCTTCAAATCCGGCCTCTAAATGATGTTTTGTTTTTGTTTTTGGATCATTTTCTTTTGTTCTTTTTGTATTTTTTTTCTTCCTACTATTCAATATTATTTGTGTATGTATCAATTGATTGAAACTAAATTTGTAATCAATAATACGAAATGATCATGATCCATGGGTTCTCTTCCGTACGGGAAATTAGATGTTACATCTGATTATTTACGTCAGGTGGATTCGAACCATAAATTTGATTAAATAACTATCTAATGTGTATAATTATGTTAAGATCTACAGTTTAAATTCACCGAATATAAATAAGCAGGGTAACTTGACCAAATATTATCTCTAATGTTGGAGAGTTTATAGTCAAAAGCTGTCTGGGCTTAGGCAAAGGCCCAAGAGAAAAGGCCCAAATCGTTTAACCTCACGCGGCCCAGAGCACGTGGTATATTCTCAACCCCGTCTGTCATTTACCATACGTCACAGCCAGGTAAGTACACGCTACGATAATTAAAATTTCTTTCGGTTTCTCTCCGACCCGTCTTTGAAATTTCAAATTTCTGTTTTGCCCCCACTCTCTCTTTCTCTCACACCATAATTAAAACCCTTATCATTATTTCTCTCACCACCAATCAACGGTCTGATTTTTCAAAAAACTTCTCTCCTTCCTTATTTTCTCTCTCTAGCTTTTACTCTTCAGTCACGAAATTTGCGGATCCTGTTGTCTTCTCAAATTCCAGCCCTCGGATTGTACCACTCTGCTGCTTACTAATCGTGGCTAGACCGGAAAATCCCGTTGATTTTGGGTTTGATTTTCAGGTATGACCTCGGATCTACGTTGGATTTTTTCCTTTTCGTTTTCTGTTGTTCGATTCCTAAATTATTAGAAGAGCCGAGATATTTCCTAGATGCAGTAAGAATTTGGAGTTTGAGGAAAAAATAAATGAAGATAAAATCTCTGATTCTGTTCGTTAACTCCATTTTATGTAAATTGGTAGCGGGTTTTATGCTTTATCTTCAATAATCGAATTGGATCTTTCAATTGAATGGTTATGAGAGAATTATTCGTCTCCTTGCCAATTTTAGCTTGGATTCAGCTAGGCCAGTTCGCTTTATAACATTGTTACTCAATTTATTAGCCAAATTTGCAAGGGTTTTGTAGTTTTCAAATTAGGAGGGTTTTTTTTCTCTTTTTCTGTACTATTTTACTTGGCATTGAAGTTGTTCAAGTTAAAATTCGTAGTGATGTATTATGATATGATTGCGGTTGTAATTTATTAGGTGCTTCTATACGTAGGTACAGCTAACTTGAAATGTCAATCGCTCCAAGCAATATGCTTTCGCAACTGGAGACGACTTGTGGTTCTCTTCTATACGAATTGCAGGTATACAAACTTTTAGTAGGATTGTGTTTTTATTTTCGTCTCTTTTTTTTTTTTCTTCTATTCCTAAACGATCGCGTTATAAAATACATCAACATTATTATGCATCGGTAAATTTATCAGATAATATGGGATGAAGTTGGGGAATCTGATGCTGATAGAGACAGAACGTTGCTTGAACTTGAGCAAGAATGTCTAGAGGTTTACAGAAGAAGAGTAGACCAGGCAAACAAGAGTAGAGCTCAGCTGAGGCAGGCAATTGCTGATGCTGAGGCCGAACTTGCTGCCATCTGTTCAGCAATGGGGGAGCGGCCAGTACACATTAGACAGGTCAGGCCTGAAAGGAGTATTTTCTTTTTCTTTTTCCATGCTGTACTTTTCACCTTAATAATGGGTCGCCTTTCTCTCGTGTAGTCCGATCAAAGCACTGGAAGCTTGAAGGCCGAACTCAGAGCCATCCTTCCACAGATAGAAGAGATGAGGAGGCGGAGATCCGAGAGGAAAAGTCAATTTATAGAGGTGAAAGAACAGATACAGATCATTAAAAGTGAAATCTATTCAGGAGGGCATTGTGCTTTGAATGACATGGCAGTCGATGAAACTGATTTGTCTTTGAGAAATCTTGAAGAATTGCACAAAGAACTGCAGACGCTTCAAAAAGAAAAGGTAAGTTTTGTGAAGTATAATTTATTCTCAACATTTTTTTCTTCACATAATTCTTCCCTGACGTGTTTCCCTGAATGTTCATTGCTTGCAGTGTGAACGTCTGAAGCAAGTCGTGGAGCACCTGAATAATTTGTTCTCCTGTTGCTCGGTGCTTGGTTTGGATTTTAAGCAAACTGTCGATGAGATCCATCCAAGTTTAGGGGAATCTGAAGGTCCTAAAAACATTAGCAATGACACCATAGAACAATTGGGGAAGTCTATACTAAGATTACGGGAGGTTAAAATACAGAGAATGCAGCAGGTATCGTATTGCATTTCTAGACTTGGTCTTTTTAGATTTATTTCCTTTTTTTTATTACACAGTTTGTTGACTGATGAATAAATTCTGGTCAGTTACAAGATCTAGGGACTTCATTACTGGAGCTTTGGAACTTGATGGACACACCAATTGAAGAGCAGCAGATATTTCAGAAAGTTACATGTAATATAGCTGCTTCGGAAGATGAGATAACAGAGCCTGACATGCTCTCTGCTCAGTTTATTGATCATGTGAGTAGTAAGATTTTGCTTTTAGGAGCATAGTTGCATTTCTTTGTTTTACGACTTGCTTTATTTTGTGAGGTTCAACCATATATGAAACTGCTTATTTAAAGGTAGTTGGATTATTTATCTGTCAGGTCAAGGCTGAAGTTTCTCGATTGGAGGAGATGAAAGCCAGCAAAATGAAGGAACTCGTCATGAAAAAAAAGTCAGAACTAGAAGATATTTGTAGGAAGACACATTTGAATCCAGAATCAAATAGTTCAGTTTCCTTGGCTGTAGATGCTGTTGAATCTGGTATTAGTTATGCGTGTCGAAGATAACTTTTGATCATTTATTTTGTTCTGTTCGCAACTCCTCATTCTCTGTTTTTTGATAATTGAAGGAGCTATTGATGCCTCTTACGTGCTCGAACAAATTGAGCTTCAAATATCTAGAGTCAAAGAGGAGGCTCTCAGCAGGAAAGAAATCCTTGAAAAAGTGGAGAAGTGGATGACTGCATGTGAGGAGGAGAGCTGGCTTGAGGAGTATAATAGGGTTTGAACTCTTATATAATTTTATGTTGTACATCTTGAGATACAAACACTCAATTGCTTATAGTCCTTTCCCTATATTTTTAGGACGAGAATCGCTATAGTGCTGGCAGAGGCGCTCATCTTACTCTCAAACGTGCTGAAAAAGCTCGTGCATTAGTGAACAAACTTCCTGGTACGGTTTGAATTGTGTCTGGATATGCCTTGTTTTTGCTGCAGTCTTAAATTAATTGGTAAAATATGATTGTGCTAATGGCTTGTTTACTGAACAGGAATGGTGGACATGTTGGCTTCAAAAACCGCGGCATGGGAAAATGAGAATGGAGTCTATTTTACTTATGATGGCGTACGTGCTATTGTATAAACTAGTTAATTCCGTGTCTCTCACTTGTTTTTTTTTTTTTTGTTATGTTAACATAATTTACGTTGGTTCTAATCTTCTATCTCCAGGTTCGTCTGCTCTCTATGCTTGAAGGCTATACAGTTTTACGGCAAGAAAAAGAACTAGAGCGCAAAAGGCAGAGGGTAAAACTATTTCTATTTTGGATTACATGCTAAGCATAAATTTTAAATTGCGACTCTTTAACATATGTGTGTGTATGCGCTTATGCAAAAATCAGGACGAGAAGAAACTTCAGGGACAGTTGCTAACAGAGCAGGAGGCTCTTTATGGTTCGAAGCCAAGCCCTATGAAGAACCAGAGTGCGAAAAAGGGGCCTAGATTGTCGTGCGGTGGTGGTGGTGCCGCCGCAAGCAATCGAAGACTTTCTCTTGGTGGACATATGACACATAATCCTAAGCTTGATATGCATCATTCCTCAAAGTTCACCCCCAACACACGTAATGCCAAGAAAAACGAGCGTGCAAATCAAGACTGCCATAGGGATGATGGATTTGCTGCTCTCTCTTCTGGTAATATTTTTTTTTCCCACCATTTTCTTGATTTTGCTGCTCTTAGTCATTTTTCCCTTTAAAATCGTTTTTTCGTTTTCTCAATTTTCAGGGAGGAGAGGTTTGGACTTGGCAGGTTTTCCGGTAAAACAGCATTCTCAGAACATGCAAAATGTTCGAGAAACAGAATCGCACATGCAGAGGAATCCATTCTCTCCTATTTCTTCCACGGATTCGTCGAAATCGAACATAACAAACATTCTAGAAGACCTGAACAAAAAACACGATATTTTGCAGAAGGCACTCGCAACAAACACAAATACACCGTACAGCACTCCTTCGAAGATGGTCTCTACGGTAGGCGCCGAAGTAGAGAATCGAACCCCTCGAGCAATGTCGATAATGTCCGTACCTTCAACACCCTCGACTGTATCAATTCCGATGCAAATGGCTATAACACCCGCTGTTCCGAAACATATGGCCATTGTAGCAGCAGCTCCTTCTGCTGCAGTTAAGACAGTCGATGGAGAAATCGAATACTCGTTCGAAGAGAGGAGAGCTGGATTTGTTCTGCCTAGATCACATCTAGTGAACTTGTTGCAAGTTTAATTTGTTTTTTTAATTTTTTTTTATTTTGTTACATTCTTCAGTTCTGCTGCAAAAATTGTTATGTATTTGTTTAAAAATATATTGGCTATTGTGATGATGAATCAATTCTGTTGTCTTTAATATTGTGTTACCATAGCCTAAATGCAATCAGTGGCATCAAAGGGTAAATAATTGTAAAATCAAGGGTTATCTTTGTAACTAAATTGGTCAACTTTTATTTACCTGAAAAGACAAAGAACAGGTCAGAGGTTGAATAAATTTGAATGGCTCCAACCTTAGCTTTACAGCTTTAAATAAATTAAAACTGCCATTTAAAATTATAAAAAATAAATAATTTAATTATCTTTTCCCAATTTTCCCATCATTTTTATATTCCAATTCATTAACTTTGCCATTTTTTAAATGCGGTTTATTAAATTTCCAAGACGGACCTGAAACCATTTTCTCAACCATAATTAATACTTTTGAATTTTGCAATTTTAATATTCCCAACTCACCTAATTAATTTTCAGAATATATAATTAATTCCTATTTTATTTCTTAATTTTACTCCCAACTTTATTTTTCATTCCCTACTTTTTTTTCTTTCTACCAAAAACCCTAATTTTACAAAGACCAATTTTTTTTTTTTTTTTACATTTTCCCCTAAATTTAGCTGTAGCTTGTCCTTGCTCTGTAATGGCGTAGATTAACCCATGAGAAAGCCATTGTATAGATTCTCGCAGCTGACTCTGAAGTTTCTGAAGCAGATTCCGTGAGCTTCTTTGGATTATCTTCCGAATTGTGTTGCTCTTGTCGTTTTTAATTTTTTTAATTTTTTTTAATTAAGTAGTTTCTGTATAGTTTGAGTGAGTTTCTGAGCTAATTAGGGTTTGTTAATTTAGTGGGTTTAGGGTTAATTACAGTCTCTTTCAGGGTTTAAGGATTTAATAGGTATTTTCTGTGTGGTCTAGTATATGAATGGAGGTAAAAGAAGGGCTAAATGGTTCTGAGGGCACAGTAAAAAGTGATGGGGTTACTGAAGGGTACAACAGTGTGGAGCCGAGGGCCGAAAATCCCGGCGGATCAACGGCTCAGCCCACAGCGGCGGCGCCGGTAATTGTGGCGGCGGCGGCGGAGGAGGTGACGAAGGTGAGGAAGAAAAGGGGAAGGCCGAGGAAGTATGCAACAGATGGTTCAATAGTGGCATTGTCGCCTATGCCTATATCTGCTTCGATTCCACTCACCGGTGATTACTCACCGTGGAAGCACGGTGCACCGGCGGCGAGACCGGTTGACTCTTTCAAGAAGAAACACAAGCTGGAATTTGCAAGTCAAGGTTTGTTTTCTTGTTTTCTAGATAGATCTGCTTTTAATTTTTTTTTTTTATTCTATTTTTTTTTTTCTTGCATGGTGGATGCTCTTTGTTTGCTCTGTGTGTTTATGGGTCAACGGTGGGTTAGAATAAAATATTTGACAAGTATCCAATTTGGAATTGGGACCCTTGTCAGCAAGTGGGAGTTGTAAGAGAATCAATCACCCCCCTTTGTAGTGTTTGGTGATGATGTGACAAGACAAAAGATCTGTCTTTTACTCAATAATTGCAAGTATGCATAAATGGCAATCAAAAGAATAAAGAATGGATAAGGGAATAATTTATGAGAAGATGATGTAACTAACATGTGTGTGTATCTATCTCTAGATACAGGTGGACTATGTTAATACTGAAGAATTTCGATGTGATTCTTGATCTTGTCTATGCATATGCTAACATGCTTCGTTTATCATCTCCGAGATCATGCATTTTTTTTGACTCGGTTCTTGAATGTAGAATCTATTTGTTACCACTTCCAGGTGGAGTTATCAGATCCTTAGTCGAGGAAAGAATATTTGTTATCGAGAATCTAGTTACGTTGCATATGTTAAGTTATATTAACTCCGTTTTACATGAATGATATTTCTTTTGTTTTTTTTTAGGAAACTGATAAATGCATGCTGAAAGTGTATCTAATGTTTTTTTTTCTTCGAGGGGATAATACGAGCCCAAAAACTTTGGTGAATATTGAGAAATGCCGCCTTTTTTCTTTTCTTTTTTAACTTCGCCCCTGATAAAGGTCTTCCCTGTAATTTCTGCATGAGCACGAAATTGAAGTCGAGAAATCATATTTGCAATATGCTAGTGAATTTTCTTTTATTTTTATTGAATTAATTGAGCAAATCCGTGATTCCTCATGTGTTTTAGGTCGAGCGACAGAATCTGTCCCGGTTGGTGGAAGTTTTACACCACATATGATAACTGTCAATACTGGCGAGGTACTTCTGATTATAACTATTATTACTCATCTTTATATTTGAATTTTATTTTTCGTAATACTATTTATTCATGTTGAAGTACATAAATCTTGCTGATTCGATTAAATCGTGTTTAATGGTGGTTGCATATGATATGTATTTAAGTTCATAATTGGTCTATTTGAAATTATCCAACTTTCTTCCTCAAATTAAATAAATAAAATTATCCGACTTTTTGAGTTTCTGTTATTTATTGTGGCAGGATATTATGATGAAGATAATATCTTTTTCCCAACAAGGATCTCGAGCAATATGCGTTCTAGCTGCAAATGGTACTATCTCAAATGTTACTTTGCGTCAACCTAATTCTTCGGGCGGTACTTTGACTTACGAAGTAAGTACCCTTTGAAATTTTTCTAATAGGAAAAATAAAGGGTAGATTTTTTTTATTTTTCTAATCGGGAAATTAGTACTTGTGAATTATAATTATATTTTTTTTCCACAGGGTCGTTTTGAAATCCTCTCTCTCACTGGTTCGTTTATGCCTAGTGATAACGGAGTGACGAAAAGCCGATCTGGCGGCATGAGCGTCTCACTGGCGGGACCCGATGGCCGTGTCTTGGGCGGCGGTCTAGCTGGGATGCTAGTTGCAGCGGGCCCCGTTCAGGTGCGTAAATTAAAAAAATACTATCTTATTAAAATACCAAATTCAGTTTTATTTTTATTTTATTTTTCAAGAAATCGTTTGAATTTTACAGATGGTGATTGGCAGCTTTGTACCTCCTGGAATTCAGCAAGAGCAAAAGACTAAAAAACCGAAATTCGAGCACACAATTACATTTTCGCCCGTCATTACTAATAATAACCCTTACTCTGGAGAAAGATATGAACCAGCAGCAGCTTACAGCGGACAAAAGAGTAATTTCACTACAACATCTGCTTCCTTCCATGGGGACAACTTGACAACCTTAAACTCTATCCAAGGTTTCAAGATTACAGATTCCGAAAATAATGCCTCGTTGCAGGGAGAAGATTCTAGAGAGCAGAGCCGCGAAATAACTTGCTGAATAAGGTTTTGGTGTTTATCGTGTTTGTATTTTAGTTTTTTTTTTTTAAATGTGGTGTAGAAGTTTTAGGCTCATTTCTTCTGACCCCTCTTGTAACAAAAGTGTGATGGCTAGAATGTCATTACAGGACAAATTAGAGCATGATTGGATTAGGTACTAGATTAGGACTCTCTGCTCGTAGGATCGTTCGCTCGATTTATGCGTTTGTGTGTAAGTTAATGATGTATTATTATTATTATTATTACTGTTTCTAATGTCTGAAACTGGGATTATTGTTTCTAATTGTAGCTTTCAAGACTTCAAATTTTGTGAAGCATCTTCCATTTGAGTTGTTTATGTGTTGTTCATTTACCCAAAAAATACCAAAATCATTGTCTACATATTTGTTATTAGGATAAATTACGGTCAACCCTGAAGAAAGGTCAAATTACGAAAAAAAAATCTTCATATTTTGGTAATTACAACCAACTCCCTCAACTATGAATTTTCATACACGTCCATCGATATGGTGTGAATTTTCTAGATTTTGTGGAATGTTCTCTAGTGTGTACTCGTTTTGTTCAAAAATGCAGTTTCTGATGCACCACAATTTGATACTTACAAGGCAAGAGACACATTTTACGATCATCTTGTTTCAAAATGTGGAGCTCGATTGGAGTAAAACAGAAAAAACTGGAGAATATTCCACAAAATCTAGAAGATTCCACTAAATTGAACACGACAAGTGTGGACGTGTAAGAAGATTCATAGTTGAAGGGGTAGTTGTAATTACCCAAATAGTATAATGGATTTTTTCGTAATTTCACCTTACCTCAGGGGATGCCGTGGTTTACCCTTGTCATTATATTAGCTTTTACATGTAATTTCTTGGGGAATTAGTACCAACAACTATGATTCTTGTTTCTTTTCTGTTACCATTTATTTATTTATTTGTGTTAACTAACATACAATTACTAGGTATTTTGAAGCCACATTCTTTGTATGTTAATTATTTTTACATATGAAATTGCAATAATTTTAGAAGTCAAGACTATACGACAAAGTAAATCATTTGAAAATCAATATCTGTTGTAAATCATTTCCTGTAAGAAAAATGATCTGTAATATACTAACTAACATTGACTTGCACAAGGACTAACAGCTGCCACTAATTGAATTGCAACCTAAGCAAATACCAGAAAAATCAAATATCTAACACCAAGACAAAACCAATTATTTGCTTACCAAAAAATGTCGAAAAACGAAAAAAAAAGTTAATAATAAATAAATTAATTAAAATCTTGATCATGAAGATTTTTGTCTTTTGTCTGCTGGAAATCTTGCTAGAAAACAGTTAAGTCTGTAGTAGCAGATAATGGATTCAGTATCCAGGATAATCTTAGCAAGCATCTAAGCTGAGCTGGACAAACAAATAAAATAATTTGATTTAAAGATTATCACAGATCAAAATTGTACTTCCATCAAATTATGCCACTTTATTCTCATCCATGTGACACAAATTCAAAATTGATTCAAGAAATTCATCAACAAGCACATTGAATGCGTAAATTATAGAAATCATTATGCAACGTGAATATCAAATAAATAAATAATTTACCAAAAAAAAAAGTACGCGTTAGTACGCGTTAGTCGTTACTCTGTAGTATTGCATTTGAAATTCTATATAAAAATACTCAAAAAATCTTGCGGTTTCTTGACCCAAAAATGGCAGCAGGATTACATTTAGGCACTCGAGTGAAATAGAAAAGAGACCGAAGATTACGATAATCGTATACACTACTTCTCGGTAATCCAATTTAAGTTTGAACGTGATTAATTAATAATGTCATTGGACTAAAGAATGTGTTTTCATCTTTTCAGCCCTCCAAGCTCTGTTAGTTCTCTCAATAAACTCTTCGAATTTTTTTCGCAGCTCTTCATCTTCGGTTTCTTCGTCTTCGTCTTCGTCTTCGTTTTCGACCGTGTCTATTATACTCACAGTCACAGATGATACTTTTTCTTCTTCTGTTTGGACCAAATCATTGTCAGCCTCCAGAACTGCGTTCTTCTCTAAGTTGTCGTGAATGACATCATCAATGACGTCATGAACGACAATGGTGGGAGAAGATTTGGGCTCAAATTCATCGAAATTCGAGATTGGTTTCGAGCTGCCAACAAGTAGGATTGCGATTATCAGATTGCAGAAACAGAAGACCGCGAGCGAGTTCGAAGCAGCCATGCTGATCAATTCGATAGTCGAATCCAACATCTTTTTTTTTTCTCTTGTCGGAAAATCAAGAATCTGTTGCTAAATAAGTGAAGATTGTTTGATGTGTGTGTGTGTGTGTGTGGCTGAATGAATGTGGACTTAAAGTCCTTATAAAGGCTTTGCTTTGAAGAACTATAAAGTGTTGAGGAAGCTGCTTCTATCTAGGGGAAATATGCAATACACCCCTTATTTAGAAAATATTTTGAACTAAACCCAATTGATTTTAAAGACTTTTCCCATAACCCACATTCCAATCTAAATTAGTGAGACCCCCCTTACCAGCCATGATAAGACTAAAGTGCCCTTATGTGTTAGGGTTTTAATATAATACAATTTTATTTCTCCCTCAATTTCATTCTCTCGGTTCTCGCCTCTCTCTCTTTCATTCTCTCGCTATTTCTCTCTGTTACAGCTTTTTTTTTTTTTTTTTTTTTTTTTTTCCTTCTTCTTCACATCTGTAGACCGCCGCCGCCGGAGTCATCCTTCAAACGCCGCCGCCGAAACCCGTTGCAGGAGGCCCTTCTCCGCCGATGTTGGAGATCGTCTCCCCCCTCGTCGAACACCACCACATCGACGCCTGGTACAATTGGCGGCGGCGCCTCCCCCACTTTGTCGCTGACTCCGTCGGATTTCTATATGGAGATTTCCCTTCTCGTAACGCGGAATACCAATATATACTATATTAATTGGTAAATTTTATTTTTTATTTTTCTCGAATTAATTGTCGAACTAGCAATAGAATATGTCATGGATCTGGATTTTTAGTTCTATTATTTGTTTGTTATGAACGAATACATTGATTTTCAATTATTCTTGATTTTATTAATTTTTGTGTTATTCTACATATCCTGAATGTTTAGATCTGGAAAATCTATTGAATTACGAGATTAGTCGGTTGTGGTGCAATGTATTTTTACAGAGTAGTCACGTTTGACAGAGTAGTCATGTTTAACAACTTAGTTATATTTGTTTTTTTTTTTTTTTTGTGGTGCTGCATATGTTCAACAGTGTAGTCATATTTAACAGAGAAGATCAAACGGAAGATTAAGTGCAGTCGGTGCAACCGAGTTGGATACCGCAACAAAAAAACATGTTCGATGGCCATTGTTGAAGGATCACATTAGTTATTTTCGTTTTTTCATAGTCATTTTTTTTCTTTTTGCAATGTATTTTGCTGTTAATATTGCAAGTTTTTTCAAGTGCTGATTACTTGTAGTCACATTACGCAGTTGCTAGTCACATAATAGTCATATTCCCACTATCATGTTCAGTATGTTATACAAACTGTAGTCACATAATAGTCATATTCATGTTTCTACTGTCTGTTAATTATAATGTTTTACAAAGCACAGTCACATTCACATAGTAGTCATATTCTTACTGTTATATTAATAATTATGCTTCTACAATATGTTAATTACACTATTATACACAGCGTAGTCACATAATAGCCATATTCAACTATAGTCATATTCGGAGTTGTAAATCTGTCGAGAAAAAAAAAATCAATTTTTTGTTTAAAAAAAATTAAAAAAATATATTTTTTTATTAAAAAAATATTAAAAAATAATAAATAATAAAAAAGTGGCTATAAAATCCGAAAATAATACAAAAAAAAAATCCTATTTTTTGATTTGGTAGCAAATTTTTAGAAATTTGGAAGTAGATTTTTAGGAATTAGATTATTGTTATGGAAAGAGTGAAAAAAGGAATAATTGAGACTAATTATGTTAATTGACATAAGGGTAGAATTGGAAATACAAATTCTAGGGGGTTATCACAAAGAAAGATTTAAGGATTGGACATATCACCATTTATTATCTATATGAGGGGTTTATTGCTAATGGCCCCTTTCTATTTAATTTTTATTATTTTATTTAGGTGTGGTGTGAAAGCTAATGCCTTGTTTGGATTAATTATATTATAAAGACTTCTTCCTAACTAAAATGTGATCATTTGAATTAGTTTATTTCAATATATTAATCAAAGTCTTTGCAACTACCCAAGATGCCCACATGGCCACTTCTCTCTTCCTAAAATAAAAGAAGAATCATAGGTAACTTAAAAAGAAATAAAATAAGTTTTTCAGAAATTAAAAAACTAATTTCAATATATTTTGTTCCGAATAATTTCGGGAAGAAAAAAAAATTGTAATAAAAAGAAAACATCGGTTTTGAGTCCGCTAGCGGAGTTTGAAATTAGCAGGGGGGGACGGGTGGAACTCTCGAAATCATTTTCTAAAATAAAAATA